CGCCAACCTTACCCTCATTCAAAGCTCCGAGACCAGGGCAAAATTCCCAAAGCAGGCAAGAGGCGAACCGAATGACATCTGCTCTCTGCTCTCTGCTCTCTGCGTAGTGTTGTTGGATGTGCTGGGTTGGTTGGTTGGTTAGTTGGTCGGTCGGTGGGTACTATACATACATACATACATATATATATATATATATATGCAGCTATCTATCTATCTATCTATCTATCTATCTATCTATCTATCTATCTAGGTATGGCAGCTACACACAGTGCGCTCGAGTCTGCTTACTTACTCACCTACTCACTTACTCACCTACTTACTCACCTACTCACTCACCTACTTACTTGCATGTGTGAACAAGCCAGAGAACCAACCAGATGATGCTGAAGGAGGGGCGATTTCGGAGGTGAGACGGACAGAGGCTGCAAGTGAGTGAGCCAAGTGAGTAAGTAAGGAAGTAGGTAAGTAAGTCTTGCAGTAGGTTTACTCGCTCACTCCTCCTTCGATACTAGGGCTGGAAAAAAACAAAACAAAATGATGTATGCCCCCAAGCGGATCACGAGAAGGGGTATGAATGGCTTGGCCATCATCATGACTTGACTGGATTTGGATGCTTGAATATTCATTTAATTAGGAGGGGGTATCGAGAGAATATCCTTCATTAAAGCTACCGACTTGGAACATCTCCCGTCGCCATATCCGACCACTGTTCCTCGTCCCTTCGGCCCCCACCCCACGCCACACCCCCACACCCCCACACCCCCAATGTCTCCAATCGCTAATCCCACCTTATCATCGTCGGCATTGCCTCAAGCTCCTTCTTCCGCTCCAGACTGACCTTATCAAGAGGCCCCATGACACGCATGGCCGCTTCACGATGTCTCATCCTCAGATACCATGCCACCAGATACAGGAACCCCTCAGCATTCTCCCACTCGTTCCGTATCTCCTCGATGATTGGGAGTAACGCGAAATCAGCCAGCGTCGGCCTCTCGCCTCCCATGTATGGCGCTTCCAAGGCATACCCTTCCCACAGCCTGAACTCTTTCTGAAACGGTTTGACGTGGAAGGGACGCGCGCGCCATTTCCGGAGGAGCTCAGAGGACTGCTGGAGACGTGTGAACTGGCGGGCGAGGTCGACCGGCGATGTAGGGGGCGGAATGGGAGATGACGGCCCGTAGACTGAGGAAATGTAGAGCATTATGGCAAGGTCGCCGACGATAGTAGATCTGCTGTGGTCGTTGTCGATGAATTTAATTGGGAGGACTTCGGGTATGTCGGGCGCGTCCTTGAAGGCACTACCGTCCTTCCAGGTGAAGGGCGGCGAGAATATCCCTTCTTCGTATTCGATACCGTGCTCAGCGAGGTACAGCTTCACACTTAAATCTGCTGTAGAGTCGCCGGATAGGAAGAGCTTCGGCGTGTTAGAGATATGGAGAACATCGAAACCATCACCATACACAGCCTCCCAATCAAACTCAGTCGACTGGTTTTCCTTGCCAAACGCCCGTAGCATTTTCTCGGCCTCAGGTGTACTCCCATTGATTACTATCCTGGCCTCGTCTTTGGTCTTCGCGGTGGCTCCTTGACCCCATATCTTCTGCTGGTCCTTGTCAAGGAATGTGCCAATCTGTCTAAATGTCAGAGAGATACGACCGCCTTGGTAGGCCAGATCTTCAGCCATCTTCTGGCTCGGCAACCTCTTGTCCTGTCGAATGCCATGCAGCCAGCGCATGTTTGTGGCCAGACCCATCTTGCACATTGAGTTGTGGGGTAGTAATGCTCTGCATGTCTTTCGAGGTTCCGCTACCTGGGCAGCAACTGCATCATTGGTCTTCTGCCTCTTGGTTCGGAAGACCATGGTCCTCTGAGCCCCAAGACTGACATTCGCAATGCATGTCTCTGGACGGATATCTAAGGTCTTGTCGGTGTGCTCCGAGATGTGGTCTGCTCCGTCTCGGTAGAACTGAATCAGCGAGTGGTTGACCGGGTGCCCCAGGTGCTTCTCGACTTGCGTTCGCACAAGCGAGACGGTGGTTGAGAATGGTAGCAACGGTGGAGATTCGTCAGCTGGGTGTCGATATACTGGCATAGTTCCATCTTTCGCAACCTCGCCCTGAACGGCGACAAGCCTTGGGACCTCGCCACCCTGGTGAGACATTTTTTGCCATCGCACCTCATCTCGGATAGTGGCGAAAGTACTCCGGGCAAGGTCCTCATCAAGGAGGTTCTTGATGATTTGCGTGTCACCCTCGCACAGTACAGATTTCTCATCGTCACTGACCGACTCGTGCTCCTCGACAGCGTCCTTCGCATGGACTGAGATGGCATCGCTGGAAATCATCGGCCTGTCCATCTCGGTCTCTGGCTTCGGATTCGAACCAGAAGTACGCGAGGGTTTCGCCAAGCTGGAAGCAGATGCTGCTGTCGCCACGATGGGATTTGGCATTTTCGAAAGTGCTGAAGGCGCCCGCAGAGAGGCGGAAGTCGAGGATGCTGGGCCTTTATCGCTCGACCCACTCGCAGTTGTCTTGGACGCATTCGACAGACGTCGCCTTGATTTCACCTTCGTCTTGACCCTTTCACGCTTCTTTCCATCGCCTTCAGTAGGGTTTGTTGGGCGCGGCAGACCGTCAGGGTCATCATCCTCAGTCCTGTGCGAGTCTCCAGGAGATTCGGTCACCTTGAGAGTCCGTGACCCCGAGACACTGCTGTTCGAAGTGGGTGATCTATCCGATCGCAAACTCAGACCGGACATCAAACCTTCAAGACCGAGAGCCTTGTCACTCGTCCTGGCACTCGTCCTGGCACTCGTCCTGGAAGACGGCGGCGGCCTCCTCCCGGTCACGGGAGCCTCCGCTTTTTTCGCACTTTTTCTCAAATCCTTCACAAGTTCTTCACTTGTTACTACTGCACAGCCGGTGAATTCGACCAGCCGGCGCAGAGCTTCATCGTGTCTTGCTTTACTTCGATACCCGAGACAATCTTCAATGATCGTGATCCCATAGCCATGGCGAGCCGCGTCCATTGTTGTCGCGAATACATCGATGTTGGTCAGAGCACCACAGATGTAAATTTCCGTCACAAATCTCGCCCGCAATATTTGCAACAGGGTTCCATCCTTAAAAGCCGAGTAGTAGCTCTTCTGCATGACCACATCCTTCTTGAAGTCAAATATCCGGATAGCGATCTCGGCGAGGTTTGTCCCTGGCGACATGGCCAAGACGACCTGGGGCTCCTCGTCCGGCTCGATGGTCAGATACGTCTCCGCTATGTCCTCGTCGTCCTCGTCATCCTCGTCGTCCTCGTCGTCCTTGTCGTCCTCGTCGTCCTCGTCGTCCTCGTCGTCGTCGTCCGAAGCTAGTACCGGACTGCTCTTCGCGGCCTGCCCATGGCTTTGCAATTCCTTTCCCTTTTCCTCCCGGGGCTTAGAAGACCTTCCACACGGCTCCGCCTGGTTCAGCTGCGCGTTCGTGATAACACTCTCACTGTCTGCGTAGGGCTCGTTGACTTTCCTCGAACCCTCGAAGTTGGTACGGATCCATATGAGATTGCCCGAAGGTCTGAACTCCGGAGCAAGCTTGGCAATCTTTTCCACGAATTCTAAATGGTTCTTCACACGCAGGGCGGCATCAGGAGCCAGGAAGTCATTCTGCAGGTCGAGGAGAAGCAGGGCCTGGCGAGTCTGCACAAAAGGCAGGTTGTTGGCGTCGATTTGGAACATTTCCGGCAGACTGAGGAGACTGAGGAGCACGCATTAGAATGATGTACGCATGTTTGAGGCACTCGAAAGATTGTGTTGCAAGAAGCTATCCGCATCCGCAAGGCAAGGAGCAGCTGGTGTGGTGTTCGGCATTGAACCGAGACAACGCATGCGACATGACACTGGAGAAGCTGCGGGCTTACATATATCTATCTGACCGATACAATGGTCTTATTTCTGCCTGTGTTCGCGTTCGTGGATCTGTTTCTGTTTTTTTCTATCTCAGTCTGATCTTGCAAGAGGATCGCAAGATCATTCAGGCCCCCAGGTTCACGGACAGGGAAAGGCGTAACGCTGCATTGTTGTTCGATCCTGTGGGCTACCGGCGCTCTATGCAGCTCCCTTGGATGAAGGGCGGAGGTGCATCGCAGGGTTGGATTTGGTTGTTGTTGCACATCTGCAGGAAGCGGCAGTAGTAGCAGCAGTAGCAGCAGTAGCAGCAGTAGTAGCAGTAGCAGTAGCAGCAGCAGATATGGATATAAGTCATTGTGGATGGCGGGCCGCGAACATCAAGACGCAAGAAGGTTTTTCCAGCAGTTGGGAGAAGGATTAACGACGGGCAGGGCAAGGGCAGGGCAGGGGGAAGGGGGAAGGGGGAAGGGGGAAGGAGGGGGATGGAAATCCGGATCCGAGGCGAAATGAGTGAGGAGTGGATGTGGATGGTGCAATTTACTACTTACCGGTAGTAGTTGTATCGGGTCCCGTTGTCTCTCGCGATTGCACTCGAATACCGGTACCGGGATGAGCCGACATCGGAGGGCTACTCCGTCAATCAACACCCGCTAACTTGACTGGGTAGTAGAAACGGTATCTCAACACCCGCTAGCTCAACTAGGTAGTAGAAAGGGATCGATTGCACACTGCCCTACCGGTAGTGGCCGGCCTCGCAGAGACCTAGTAGTACGTAGTACGTAGTAGAAGAGAGCCTGACTTGATAGCCCGTACTTCATACTACGTACTACGTACATACCGCTACCGGCACTGTACAGTAAAGCGCCAGAACTCTTAGGTGAGAATAACGTTTCCGGTACCCCATCCGATTTGGTCTCAGCTACAGCGTTGTACTACTATATACTAAGTACTACTACAGTAGTAGTAGTAGTTGTACAACTACGTACTACTAGTAGGTACTTCCATGTACCGAGTCCGAAAGTAAATAAACCGATACTACAGTACCTACGGAAGGACCTCCCGCAACAGCCGCTCCAACTCTCGAGAAGCCCTCAGCTCGCCACTCTGAGCTCCAGTCCGTACGCCTTGCTCTGTACCGTACCTACGAGAAGGACCAGGAGGTATACCCCGTATACTACTACCACCGACGGAGCATGCAAGGCCCGCGAGTTATGCTGGCCCGTTGGGCTGCGAGAGAGATGGCTACTGGTGCTGGGCACTTCTCAGCGGTTGCGGCATTTGCGCACTGCTGCCGGGGAGAACCAATGATAGAGAGATTCATGAATCCTTTTGCTGCACGCAAGACATGAATCTGCTTGTAGGCTTGGAGGGGCAGTCCGTAGTTACTGATACTACGTATACTCCGTACAGAGCAGAATCCCGCCAGTTGCCGATCACAGGGGGGGCGTTAGGTGCTTCTGTCTGTTGCACGGGCGGACCAAGAGCCCAAGAGCCCAGCCATCAGATCAGGATGCCGATATCGCGGGACTCGAGACGGGCACAGGCAACGAGCTCCAGGGCATTGCCACCACGCGACTCGAGAGGCCGAAGAGGTGGTCAATCGAGGTCATCTGTATGGAATCGATTGTTCAATTGTTCAATGATTCAACTATTCGATTGTTCAAAGGAAACAGATCTGGTATGGGACCGTCTCACTCCAAAGTCTCCTCCTGCGCCTCGGGGCAAAGACGGGTGATCGTTGATTCTTGGCATGGTACTGCCGAAGTGGCCAGATATGGACGAAGATGCTGGTAGTTTATCCATATTGCGACAGGACAAAGTAAGGCTGATGAAGATGGTGCTGGTCGCACGATGGTGGAGAATCCAAGAGATATCCATCTATCTCCCGGCCCAGCGAAGCAGAGAGAGTCAAAGTACGGTAGAGTTCTTCCCACGGGAAGAGATTCCTGTTGGCTACCACCAAAGCCTTCTTCTCCCAGTGCTGTACGTTGTAGTACGTAGTACGTAGTACGTTGTACGTTGTACGTAGTACTAGTAGTAAGTTCCGAGAGGCGAGGCTTACGGACGGATAGGTCCCGTTTGGTCCAAAGCCAGCATGTAAAAAAAAAACTGGATCAAATACCGGGTCTGCAGAAACTCTACCATCTGCCGTGCGGTTAATCGATACTTTCCAACGACGTTTTGGTTTAGGGAAATAGATTGAATTGGGAAAAGACTTTAAACCGTATTTCTCGTGACTACCTATAATGCGTAGACTATGAATTCCAGACTATTACTGTATTGCAAGACTACCGATACTGCAAGACGGCCGAAGGTCGAGGCTTGGCTAGCGTACATAGCCACAAACTGACTGTACAGTCAGATACGGTGTGAACGTGAACCAAACGGGCGCTTAAGAGGTTTGGACTGATAGAGGTCCAGGTCCAGGTCCAGGTCCAGGTCCAGGAGGAGCCCAGTCAATACCGCTCTCGCTACGCGCGCTACGCGACGCGAAAGCAGACACAATACAAAAGACGAACAGAGAGGCGTCTAGTTAAGCTCATAACTCCTTTCCCGTAGACACTTGACGAAGAGCTCCAAAAACGAAACGCGATGGCCCAAATGAAAGCGGTGGTACAGTAGAAAGTAGTTGTCACATGTGGACGAGCAAAACCGCCCGCCCCAGGCTCCATATGCCCCGGCTGTCTTTGACTGGAAGCTCGGGTACCCCGGTTTTGGGTCATGCCGTCCCACAACACCACGACACTGCACCTGTCAAGCTGTCCCGTCACTCATTTACAAGTATCGAAGCATTGGGAAAACGCCTCGCTCCATCACTATACCCCCTCCACTGAAACCATTCGTCGAACCGAGCTTGAAGAGTTGAAGAGGGAAGAGAAATACCTAATATCAAACAAAAGAACGCATCTCACAATCATGGCATCCCCCATCTACAAGCACTTCCTCGTCTCGACCCCTTCCCCTTTCGTCGTCCACGTGCAGATCAACCGCCCGGAGAAGCTAAACGCGTGGTTCGAGGAGATGTGGCTCGAGTTTAAAGTTGTCATCGACACGCTCTCCCACTCCCCCGACGTCCGCGCCATCGTCCTCTCGGGAGCCGGCGACCGCGCATTCACAGCAGGGCTCGACGTACAGATAGGCAGCGAAGTGGGCATATTGAAGCAGGTGCGGGGCGATACAGCGCGGAAGGCGGTCGGGATCAAGAGACATCTGGATGAGTTCCAGCATTGCATCAGCAGCGTGGAGAAGTGCGAGAAACGTATGTACCTGCCTGATACCTGATACCTGATACCTGCCTACCTACCTATCTACCTACCTACCTCCTCCTTTCCGTTCGCGGCTAGTCGGTGTGGGATCTTGGGGACGTCAATAGCTAACAGAGAATAACGTTCCAGCCGTCATCTGCGTCCTCCACGGCATCTCATTCGGACTCGCCATCGACCTCTCCACATGTGCCGACATCCGGGTCTGCACGAAGGACGTGAAACTGGCGGTGAAGGAAGTCGACATCGGCCTCGCAGCCGACGTCGGAACGCTCACCCGCCTCCCGAAGGTCGTCGGCAACTTCTCCTGGGTCAAGGACGTGTGTCTCTCGGCGCGCGTCTTCGGCGCGGAGGAGGCCTACCGGGTCGGCCTCGTCAGCCAGGTCCTGGAGACGAAGGCCGAAGCCGTCGAGGTGGCCTTGAAGATGGCCGAGCTGCTGGCGACCAAGAGTCCCGTCGCGGTGCAGGGCACGAAGGAGCTGTTGAACCACGCGCGGGACAACACGGTGGCGGACTCGCTGCGTTACACGGGTGTGTGGAACAGTGCGGCCATCCAGTCGATCGACGTCGAGAGGGCATTGCTGTCAGGGGTCAAGAAGACGAGGCCAACTTTTGAGAAGCTGTAGGTAGAAAGAAGCGGTGCGGTAAGAGCACGCTTCGGGAAACCATGTAATATACATGTATATAGACATACATATATGCCTACCTATATGTTATCCGCTTAATGATTTCACCGCAACACTGCACGCAAGAGTTCCGGACCATCCTTTCCCTTTCCCTCCCCCTTTCCCTTTCCATGGTCCCTTTCCCTCCCCCTTTCCCTCCTCCCTCTCCCACCCATTTATCCATCCACCCACCACCACCACCCTCACAGGCTCCTTCTCCCAGTCTCCCCCTCCGAGCTCATCTTCTTCTTTTTTTAAAAAAAAAAAAAATCAAAAGTCAAAAATCAAAAATCAAAAAAAAAGTCTCAAAAACCCACCACTCAAACCAAATCTTCGCCCTCTCCGCTCCGCCGCACAAGCACGCTCAGCGAGCGAGATTCCCTCAATGATACCATACCTACCTTACTTACCTACTCACCCATATACCTACCTACCTACCTACCTACCTTACCTACCTACCTTACTCACTCACGTAAACCCCACTCCACCCACCCGCAAAGGGGCCCCCGTCGCCGAACTTCGACCTGAAGTGAAGTGACAGACAGCTCGTCGTCGTCGTCGTCGTCGTCGTCGGTCAATCAGCTGTCTGTCCTACTCCGGTCAAGACGACCCCGGGCCAGCGGGCGAGGGCGTGTCGACTGAGGATCGCGTTCAGTGCCGGTGGTGCTGCAGTCGGAAGGGGAGACGTTAGTTTGCCCGAACATCGACACGCGGCGTTAAGCACGGCCGGCCTGTCCGGGGCGGCGAGGGTAGTAGCTCTTGATCTACCTTTGTGAAGGGGCCTGTATCGCCCAGGACTCGTCGACTTGAAACCAGCTTCTTTCACTGGCACAAGTTGCAAGCATAGCCGACCAACTACGATCTTATGCGTAGATCCATTGCCAAGTAAGGTAGGTAGGTAGGTACATGGAGAGGAACAGGTAGGAAGAGGAAGGGATTTGATGTCCAAGAAGGTAGGTCACTTGGGGTACTCAAGTTATCAATCGAGCTGCAACACCTTATCATGCTTTATGCCTTGTATTTTCTGCTAGCGATCAAAGTTTGTCTCTGGAGCACTCTCCGCTTCACCAAGTGCCCCTTGAAAGACTCTGGCAGATCATTAAGCCCCCCGCAAGAAAGCTCTTAAGATTCAAGGGCAAATCCTCCTATCATCCTTCATCTGAATGAAAGATCGACCGCGAAGGTAAGCCAAGAAGAGAACAAGTCTAGCACGCGTCTATCGCCGAAATGACTGTTGACAATGCGACCAAATCGTTCAGAGACACATTGGAGGAATCACCAACTTTGGTTGACACCGCCACCACCATTTTTATCTCACCAGTTCTCTGAAGTTGAGTTAGCAAGGTATCTATAGGGGAAAGAAAGGTGAAGATGCATACCTCCAGAGTTGCCAGGAACAGGAGCGGCAAGGTTATCACCACCAGTTCCAAAGTTGTCGTTGTCACCACCAGTGCCAGCCTCACCCTCCTCGATCTTAAGTGGCATCTGGCAGCGGACTGTTCACAAGTAAGCATATTTCATTCATGGTGCTCATGGTGGAGGCTCACCCTTGGTGTGGCCCATCTGGTCGCAGTTCGAGCACTTCACACGCGAATAATCACGGGGCTTTGAGCATTCCTGCAAGCATATTATTAGCAGGCGAACGAGTTGACCCGGGAGCAGGTACATAACTTAGACACGTGACCTTGTGCATCACAGTTGCGGCAGATGAGGACTCGCTCGTTGGTGCAATCATTCTTCGAGTGACCCTCCTGGCCGCAGTTGTGACAAGCACGGCTACCTCCACCGCCACCCTGTGGGCATTCACGCGAGAAGTGACCGACTATGGTAGGTCAGTTAAATAATAATTTCGGTGGAAGGAATCAGAAGCCCGATGTACTCACCCTCATTGCATTTCTTGCACTCAACGCCCTCGGCCGAACGGGGCTCTGAGCACTCTTTGGAAGAATGACCAGATTGCTTACAGTTGCGGCACGCAAACTTGTCAGGGCGGGGGTTGGGGCCTATGTTCGAGTTAGATTGAGGTTCGAAGTAAAGCAGAAGAAATATAAGGAACTTACAATCACGGATGCGATGTCCAGTTTCCTCACAGTTGTAGCACTTAACGACGGTGTGCTCCTTCTCCACCTTGTCCTGGGGGCAGTTACGCTGAGTGTGGCCGAGTCCATCACAGTTGCCGCACTTCTGCATTAGGCAGTAGACAGGCTCGCCGGCATCCTCAAGACGGGTACGGTTCTCCTCAGGGCTGGATGGCCAAGCATCATGCTCCTTAGGTGCACGTGGGTTGGGAGACCAGCGCCAGGTGATGGAGTAGGTCTTGCCGAGGTTGCCCTGGAGATCCATGTTGACATAAGTTGGATTCAATTCCTTCTCGATTGCGATAAGGTAGACAGGAACATCCAAGTTGCGGAAAGCCTCCTCAAGTTGAGGGTAGGTGACATCCGGGCAATTCTTGACATACATCTCAACAGCGTCCTTGAGCTCAAGGATCTCACGTTCGGCAGCGGCCTCTTTGATGAGAGCCCAAGCTTGCTCACCAGTGATGTCCTTAACATGGGAGCGATCGATCTTGCGGGGCTGTAATTGTTAGACTCTAGTATTCTTCGTGAGATAAGAAAGCATACCTTGTCACACACAACAACCTCATGTCCCTCCTCCTGGCAGTTCTTGCAAACGGTGGGAGGCTTGGATGGGCAATCGGCCGCACGGTGGCCTTGTTGCTCACACACACGACAAGTACCAGTGAATTCACGGGCAACAGCGGGGTTTGGGCAGTCGGCTTTTGAATGGCTTGGGATTGTCAGTGAATTTTTCCAAAAGTGAAGGAATATTTGGGTGTTATTAAGAAAGGCTCTCTAATCTTACCCCTCTTCGCCACAATTGAAGCAACCACGGGACTTTGGGGGTTGTGGGCAATCGGACTTCATGTGACTATAGATAAATTAGTAGGATTGATCGAGAAAGAATGTAAATGTGCAAACCCCTCTTGGCCGCAGTTGAAGCAGCCGCCACCGCTCCCACCACCGCCTCCATCACCAAATCCACCAGCACCGAATCCATCAGCACCGCCTCCATCAAACCCACCACCAGCAGCATCTCCATATCCACCAGAGCCGCCGAATGCGCCAGCCTCGTGGTTGCGAGCGTCATTTGAATTAGCACCAGCGAACTGGTCTCCATGAGCGCCACCAGATGCAGCAGCAGAAGGGAAGTTATTGGCAGGTGCAGCGTAGAAGCTGTTTGCAGCCTGGCCGTTGAATCCATTGATAGGTGGAGCGTTGAAGTTGTTTGCAACCGGACCATTGAAGTCATTTGCAGGCGGAGCATAGGAGTTGTTTGCAGCCGGGCCGTTGGAGATATGAGCAGGTTGATCACCCCAGCTACCAGCGGGAGCCTGATCCCAAGACATCTTGAGTTGTTGTTTGTTTTTACTTGTTTTTGTCTGTGGAGTCAAGGTACGATTAGCTTTATACTGCAACGGGTATGGATGAAGGTGAATTGAATGTAGAGCAGTGTTGAAATGGAAGGTCCTGGTCTTGGTCTCGATGTTTTAGATATGTTGTTGTGGTTAAGGGGACGAAGAGAGCACGGACTCCTGCCGGTCGATGAATTGGTGGAGGCCCGAAAGACCTCAGATATTGGCCAGCCAGGGGGAGAGCAAGGAGAGGGGAAGGGAAGGACGAAGGAGATGGAGGGGATGGGAAACGCGACCAGCAGACCCGGTGCGCAGAGCTGATTTTGAAGCTGTCTGACCTATGGTGAGACTGGTCGAGTAGGCAGGCAGCTGGGTGTAGAATAAGTTTAGCAGAACGTCGTAGGAAACGCGACGTGCCGCCAAACTCAAACAGAGATCGAGGGACGGGAAGTGTAGAGGAGAAGGAGGGAGTGTAGAGGAGGAGCAAAGTGTGTAGAGGAGAAGAGAGTGTAGATGAGGTTGTAGCGATCAAGGCTCTTTGTGAAAGACCTCTCAAGCCGAGAGGCGATTCGTGAAAGCGCAGATAGATGACCAGAGCTGGCAACCGTACGAAAGCAAAAGGAAAGGAAAGGAAGGGAAAGGAAAGGAAAGGAGCGAGGCACTCACAATTGACAGAGGGTTGAGGCTTCAATAGTAAACCTACGCGACAGAATCACGAGATGGATATCGAAGTAGGAGAGAGAGAGAGAGGGAGGAAGTTGAAGTAGCGGAGGAAGAGGGAAGAGGGAAGAGGGAAGAGGGAAGAGGGAAGAGGGGGGTTGTGAGAGAGACGTTGTAGGAAGGAAGGTCGTCGGAGAGCGAGGACGTGAATTTGTATGGGCGCAGAAGGCGCAGAAGGCGCAGAGGGCGCTAGTCAGGCTCGATATGGTCTGGTTGGCTGGTACTCACGTGAGTGTGCAGAACTTCCGAACGATCCCCCCTTTTCCAGTATGATACGTGTATTATGCTTGGAAGGGCTGCCCAAGGCAAAGGAAGTCTGTGATCTGGTCGATAGATACGTTTGGAAGTACAGACTGTCTCGAAACGAAACGCGGGGCCAGGGCAGGGCAGCTGGCCAGCTGTGCGGATATGAGGTGAGTGAGTGCAACCTCATCATCAACCTCAATTGACACCCCAACCGCATGGCTCACCAGCAGCTGGAAACTTCATGCTGGTGGACCACAACAGTTTCTCTCTCGGTACCTCGATTAGGCCCCGAGGGCCAGGATCAAAGCCAGAGTCGCGTATGCCAGCCTCAAATTCCACTCCTACAACTTGCTGACTTCAGACTGGTACGCAGCTTGCCCCTGGCACCCAGGCACAAGCAGGGCCATGCTGCACACATTTACCACGTATAATCGAGAAATTATATTCTCGACCTCCAGCCTTTGGACAGGAACGAGAACTGGCGCAGAAACCGACTTCCTCCCTCCAAAAGCAAGGTGGCAACGGAAAAAAGCATGCACTGGGGACAAGATACTGCGGCAAGCTGGGATGGTACGGCCCCTTGAGATCTAGACGCTTGACATTGCTTGATTCTGCAATGGATCTGCTTGAGGGCACCGACGGAATGCTGGGAGACGGGCTCCCATGCAAAGCTCATGCCGTTCAGTCTGCGGGTACCAGCCCAGCTTGCCGCATGGATCCTTCCTGCTGTATAGCGTATTGCCCATTCGCATTCTGCTGGATGGCATTCAAATGCCAAGCGGCTACGTATGTTTGAGCAGCATCGCAGCATCGCAACATCTTTGCGCTATTGAAGGAAAGAAATTTCTGTCTCTGGTTTGCTTCCGTTGTATTTAAAGACGACAAGTGGTAGCACAGCCTGGCCGAGTAGGTTGGTCTGCCAGAATCGCCCTGCCCTGCCCAGCCAGGGAGATACAAGACAGCACTCGAATCTTTCACTCGAAAGACTTGTTTGGCCATCGGGATCAGAGAAATAGAAAACGACATGCCCTGGCCCCAAGGAGAGACGTCTCAAGTTGGCCGGACCTCCAAGTAGGGAAGGAGAGCCCAGCTGGCCGCCAGAACGTTCTTCTCCCCACGACTTCTACTTGGAGACTACTTCAAGCAGATTCTCTGCAATCCGATCTTCCACTCCAGGCAGATCTACCCACAATGCCCAGACTCAACGATGGGGAGGAAGGCATAGATAGCAGCGCCGTTGAGAAATACGCCAAGTGGCCACCCCCGCTGATGAAAGAAATTTGAAAGCGCGGCTGCAGGAGTCCATGTGTCTTTGCAGCAGCAAGTACGGCTGCTCTTCTCCATGCTCACACCCGCAGTTGCTATAGCTGTTGCTGGTCCTGTTGCTGTTGCTGTGGCTGTTGTCGTGGCAAGGGTCGTGGAGGAGGATGAATTGCAGTTCACAGACAGACAAATGTGTCGTCGGCCGAATATGTCAACAAAGACCGATGGCTGCCTTGCCATCAAGTAGCGCACCAATCATATTGCAGAGATTCTGAGGGTTTTGAGGGTTTTGAGGTCCGAGCGGGCACTACCATTCCACGTGCCGGGTGTTTACCACCGATCGAATTCTGAGGACTTCTGTAACACCCGTACCTACGTTCCCGTACCCGTACCCGTATGAGCCTGCAAGATTGATATCTTGCCTACACAGGGCTGTACCCAGAGCTGTTACAAATAAAATTCCACTTTCAGCAATTCTCGCCACCGTAGGACTAAGCAGAAAGCCCCCCACCATCCTCTTGCGCTATAAAGTATCAAGTGTCGAATTCCCCTTCGTTCCCTTTCAATTTTCTTCTACTCAGTGGCAGTTTGCAAAATTCACGTTCGGTTGCGCAGTCAGTACAATCAGTACAAAGCTCCAAATCTTTCGTCATGTCTCTTCCTGAAGGTCTTCCAAAGATGCAGTACAGATTTCTTGGCCGTTCTGGTCTCCAGGTCTCTGCTATCTCTCTGGGGGGATGGCTCACCTACGGTGGCCACGTCGAGAGGGGCAAGTAGCCCTGTGCCACAGCAAATACGCAGACGCTAAGACTTTCAGATAACACCTTTGCCTGTATGAAGGCCGCTTACGATGTTGGCATCAACTTCTTCGATTGTGCCGAAGGGTACAGTGGGGGAGAGTCTGAACGAGTCATGGGCGAAGCCATCAAGAAGTTTGGATGGAAACGCAACGACTTGGTCATTTCTACAAAAGTACCTTTCAGACCCGATCGTCCTATCTTGAGCATCAATTGACAGCTCAAAGATCAATTGGGGAGGCCGCCATGGTGATAACCCTGCGAACAACTTCGGCCTCTCCCGCAAACATATTATCGAAGGCACAAACATGGCACTGGAACGTTTGGGTCTAGACTATGGTAAGCAGCTCAATAGACTAGGCTAGTTCTTCTCTCCTGCGAAGAGCTGCGTCTCATCATGCGAAAAAAGAGCGTTCTGCCTTTAATTTCTATCGGAAGAAAAAGACTGACCTCCTTTCACCAGTCGACTTGATATATGCCCACCGGCCCGACCGCCACACCCCCATTGAAGAGACTGTCCGCGCCTTCAATTACCTGATAAACACAGGCAAAGCCTTCTACTGGGGCACTTCCGAGTGGAATGCCGACGAAATCGCCACGGCGTGGCGCTACGCCGACAAGCTCAACCTCATCGGGCCCCTGATGGAACAGCCGCAGTACAACATGCTCGCGCGCGAAAAGGTCGAGACCGAATTCGCACACCTGTACGAGGAGACGGGTCTGGGCCTCACCATCTTCTCGCCGCTCAAGATCGGCATCCTGACGGGCAAGTACAACGACGGGATCCCGCAGGACAGCCGGCTGGGCAGCTCGAGCGATCCGTTCGTGGTGCACATGAACAAGCGCTTCGGCGACGAGGGCTGGAAGCGGGACGTCGAGATTGTGGCGCGGCTGAAGCCCGTCGCGGAACGCTTAGGCATCACGCAGGCGTGTCTGGCCATGGCGTGGGTGTTGAGCAACAAGCGGGTCAGCTCGGCTATCACGGGCGCGAGTAGGCCCGAGCAGGTCTACGAGATCGTGAGGAGCCTGGACGCGGTGGAGAAGTTGACGCCGGAGGTCCTCGCGGAAATTGACGGGGTCTTGGGGAATAAGCCTGCCGAGATGGTTCGGCGGTTCACCTAGGTAGGTGACCAGGGTGATTGCGATCCTACGGAGATCAATGTTGAAAATACCTATCTATCTACAGACATCGGCTCTGGTTTTTCCCGCTGAGGAATATTTCGGGATGCATACCCGATGTTATTTTTTATTAAGAAAACTTTTTATAAACGTACCCAGACCCAGACCCAGACCCAGACCTCATATACCCATCTATCTGAACCTCCTATAAAATCAAATCCAATCTCAAAGATCAAAGAATGAAAGACTACTCAGCAGCAATCCAACTACCTATCCTATCCTACCCTACCCTACCCTACCCAGCCAAACACACCATCCCCATCCCCATCCCATCAACTCGCGACCTTTCATACACAACTAGCAGGGGAGAGGAGGAGGAGGGGAGGAGGGAGGAGCGGAAGAGTTCACTAATAAAGCACCTACCCACCGGTACCTAATTACTTACGGGAGGAAGGAAAGAAAAAGAAAAGAAAAGAAAAAATAAAAATACGCCCTTGCTCAATTAAGCCTTTTCTGGAGTATAAGCGAGCGAGCGAGGTCCCACGTCTACATCGACATCGACATCCAGGTCGAAGAAGATATATATAGATGTATACTTGAGCTGTAGGTATATGTTGATGAATTTTTTCGATGTTTGTGTTTGTGTTTGTGTTTGTGTTTATGTTCATGTCAATTGTGCAGTTGCAGAGGTGTTGTGATGGGTGGGACAGGGCTGACGTGAGAGATCATGTATACTCCGTGGATGATGGTGTTGCTGAGAGGCGCAAGGGGACGGAGTGGATCTGCTCTACTTTGTATATGTGTTTGTTTTATCTTTCACATCTACATCGTCATTAGGGTCATCTTCCCGTCGAAATCTATAAGGTTTTATTTCCGGTACATATTTGACATATTTGACATGTTTTGTCCTGTGCTCCATCCATGACGGTGTGTGGCCCAGCGAGCCCAATACGCACCAACCAGACCAGCGCCACGCTTATAAAACAGACATGAAACCCGTTAAATGTGTTCCGTCATCACTACCTCCCCGAATTCTCCGGGATGCTGCGAAAGCTCCTTATGGATACGGCCCGCGGTCCAGCGGTAACAGCCGCAGCGGGCCGCACAACCACCCCATCTCCCTCCGTAGCGGTTCCATCCAACCCAGACCCGGCGCTCGTCGGTTCGTGATACCCCGGCGGCCCACGTCTCGGTCTGGTCACATCCTGTATATCCTGCATCTCCACCTCTCTGGCTCTCCCTCCCTCCCTCACACCATCCGTACTCCTCACGCTCGGCGGCTTACTCCCGGGGTTGTAAGGCGGCGGAGCTTCGCCCTCCTCATTCAAGCCCTCCGTCCTCTCCGGCGGCGCAACGCCCATCCTCATACCACCCGCGTGCGCCCTCCGCATCCCCGCCCTCCCGATCCCGAAGCGGGCGCGGTAGCCTTCAACGTCTCGCGCGAGCGCGGCGCGGGAGTTGAGGCGCACGGTGGCCGCTTTCTGCTTTCTACGCTTGCCGATGCAGATGATTAGTAGGAGGATGACCAGGGCAATGACGCCTACGATGGCGTAGGTGTAGTTGGAGAAGCGACGGCTGACTCCTCTTATTCCGTCGTCGTCGTTACTGCTGTCATTGTTGTTTGAGGCAGAGAGCTGGGTTTGTGTTGGTCTTGGACTCGGTTGGGAGTTGGAGTTTGTAGCAGAATAGGAGACTGAGGTTTGGAAAGTTGTAGGAGCATTGCCATTGCCACTGCCACTGCCAGCGCCTGGCGGCGTAGGGTTCGTGGACGCCGGGTCACTGAGTTGAGCTATGGACGAGGAGGGCAGGATCGCGAAGAGGAGAAGGAAGGCAGATGATAGAGGTAGCGATCGTGAGCAGTGGCAAAGGAAAACAGCCTTTCTTCTATTTGATGCCATGTTTGTATCTGGTTGCTAACGTTGTGACGCCTGTTGAACGTTGAACAGGCAAAGGCAATGCGAGCTGAAAGGAAGGCCGATGGCCAAGTACCATTGGATTTTCACCAGCGTCATCGATATTTTGAGGGGCTGTGTATACTGATAAGTATTCGCCACGAGGAGAAGTAGAGGTAGTCAACCTGGAGGAAGAGGAGGAGGAGGAGAAATGTGTAATGAAAGGAAAAGGAAAGAAGTTGGGGTTTGGGTTTGGGTTTGGGTTGATATTGACAAAGGAATCAACTTGATTATGAATAGGGCAAGTGAGTTTAGTTAATATTCACATGCGGATTTATCAGATTTATCAGTACTCACGATACTGCCAATTCTGTAGGTGTGCGATTCATGAATTGTCCGGGGAAAGCTTGATGATTTCCGACCTCTGACCTCTGACCTCTGACCTCTGACCCCTTATCACTCCACTACGGTATCTAGCTAGGCCCCTTGTTCTAGCCTCAGGTAAGTACAGAGTAGGTAACGTGATCTAAGTTCGCACCAGGATCAAGACCACGGACGACGAAGCGTATCAAAGAAAGAAAAATAGACCGAACTTCTAATAAACAAAACAACTTTCAAAATGCCCCGAGCTATCAGAGGTATTGCACCCCCCCCCCATCGCACAGCCTGCCCCGGCACCATCAATAAGGGAGGGAGTGGTTCAACGTTGACACGATCCAGGCGTTCTGGTCGAGTGCGATCCCTCCATCAAGTCCATCATCGTCAAGATCGACGCCCAGGACCACGCCTTCATCGTTGAGGAGCTTGATGACCAGACTTTGGTGATCAAGGAGAACATGTTGACACTGCTGAAGCAGAAGCTTGATGTCGTGAGTTCCGCTGCCTTGCATTAGCGAGGCGAGAATAACGGGTGTTGTAGATCCTCGCGGAGACTCAAACGGTGCCGGATGATTCTGATAAGGAGATGGATTAAGGTGATGGTTGTTGGATGATGGATTCTGGGGCTTCGGTGGCTGTAGGAGAGATAGTTGCGCATGGCGTTGGCTGGGCACGGGATTGTAACTGCAGCGAGGCGTTGGGTACGGGCAGTCACTTCGAGGATAGGATGGGCAACCAAGGCTCGGGACATGCCGTTACAATTCAAGCCTCTTGATATTCATATCTTTCTTCTATAAGGTGAGGGAGGTTGATTACCAACTTCTTACAACCAAAACTGGTCGCAATTCTGGGCAGCCTTCGAGGTCTACCTCAACAATGGAGTTGCTACAAAGTTGATGCTCAAGTAATTATACATGCTACATAGCGTATCACAACGAAACCATCTATGCGTCTGGAGAAGTAGATGTAGATGTCGTAGAGGAGGCGGTCGCTGCTGCTACCTCGCCGGGCATAGGAAGAGGAACCTTTCTTCTCGGTCTCTTCAACTCTTCTAATGTGACTCCGTCCAACTTCGTGATTCCAACAACAGGCGGGTCTCCCTTTTTGACAAACTCATACATTCCTATTGAGTGGCATTAGCAAGCTGTGGTATAAACTGGTGCTTTTGAGACACGACTAACCTGGCATCTTGTTCCCGGCTAACCGGAAAGCATCCCGAGCAACCTGCTCATGTATATCCCCCTTCAATTCAAAAATTACCTTGCTGACCGCAATTCTGGAAGCCCAATGGTCGAAGCTTCCCTTTCCCTTACCCATGCGGACCTGTCGCCATCAGCACTGGTTCTATCTGACCAACCTGCCCAACATACCTCATTACCACTGCTGTACACACCAATGCTCGCACAAACCCTCTTGTACAAACGATATCTCATGCCCTTTAGCCGCACCTTAATTGCATCTTCTCCAATCTTCAACTGCGATGCGCTGACCCGGCGATGGTGGTCACACATGCGCAATCCATAGTCTCCCCATACCATCGTCGTTCCTCTCGCGGACCCGCCCGTTGGCACACGAGGACGACCTTTTCGCGATCGCTTCTTCTCAGGCATAGTCGGGAGCAGCCAATTACCAGCCCGGGCGGTCGTACTGGAGAATGGACGAATATAGGCATTTTGAGGAGACGATCGATTTGTAGAAGGACAAAGAATGGTACTGAGAGGTCGCAGAGGCGTTGAAGCGAGAGACAGCCTATCGAAGTGAGCACTTAAGCTCGATATATTTCGGGGCTTCATTGTTGTGGTTTGGCCGCTGCTACAGTTGAGGCCTGGTGGTGTTGGGGTTATCCTCTGCTAGGTGCGTGCTGGCCAAGTACTGTTTGACAAATTCAATTTGGCCAAAGCACTAGCGACGCGTGCCTGGAAATCGCGACGCGGCTCAACTCGAGGTACCGTCCGCCTACCGATACTTCAACGACAATTAACAACGGTTGTCCACAAACCCTTCTCCAGGCCATGAGATTCCTGCTTCTCAAATGCCAATACACCTCTTTCTGGACTCCGCGATTCTAAATCACTCCGTTGTTAGTCAAAATGCCTGCGGACATTCGCAGTTTCTTTGGAGGCAAGACTTCCACGCCCATCCGGGAAAAAGAGGTCAAGAAAGAAGAGGTTTCCACTAAGAAAAAAAGCAGTAATTGCCACTCAACCTCAAAATAATTCTCTGCTGACTGGTCCTAGAAAGCCGCAAAGTTATCGAAGATAGTGATGACGATGAAGAGCCGTAAGCTTCACAGACCTCCAATAGAGCTATTTACTGATATGCGACAGAACCAAGAAGGCTACACCCAAGAAAGTAGCGCCCAAGAAGGCCACGTAGGTCGCCTCTCTCTACTCGATAGACAATTATTAACACGCAGATAGCAAGAAGGAATCTCCGAGGGGCGAGGAAACCAGCACCGCAGACTACTTTGCCTCGAGCAAAAAGCCCAAAACAGCCAAATCTACACCTGTCAAAGCCAAGGCAACTCAAAAAGTCGAGAGCAGTGGGCGGTCCTCAGCTCGGAAGAAGACAACCACCTCATACAGCGAGCTCAAAGATGATGACGAATTTGCCTTCCTGGACGATGGAGACGACGCCCCCGATGATATTTTTGCGGCAGACGTCAAGAAGGGTGGCAAGCGGAAGGACGACGGATACGTCGAGATAGATAGCGATGATGAGCCGATAGTCAAGCCCAAAAAGACGACCACGAAATCCAAGCCGACCCTTACGAAGAAGCAAGATGTGGAGATGAAGGATCCAGACGATTTTGTCATGGTTGATGACAGTGACGATGCAATGGTGATCGACAAGCCGGTAGCAAAGACCACGGGTAAGAAGCGCAAGTCTCCAGTCCTAGAATCGGATTCGGAAGAGGACGATATCAAACCCAATATCAAGTCTGTAAAGAGTAAGTCTGCAAAAGAGCCTCCTGCCAAGAAAGCGCGGGCTCCGAGGAAAACGAAAGAACCCGAACCAGAGAGCGCAGCACTCCAGGCTATCATGGATTCTATTCCAACGGTCCGAGCACCCACTCCCCCAGCCCCAGATCCGGATGCGAAATTTGATTTCAGAAAGGGGGGAGCAGGCGGAGGAAATTCTGGGGCACCACCTGCAGCGGGCATCAAGGAGATACCTACTGGAGAGGACAATTGTCTGGCAGGCCTGAACTTTGTCTTCACAGGACTGCTCGAAACCTTGTCCAGAGACGAAGGAACTGAGCTTGTCAAAAGATATGGCGGCAAGGTCACAGGCGCTCCTAGCGGCAAGACAAGTTTTGTTGTCCTTGGAAACGATGCTGGACCAAGCAAGCTTCGCAAGATCCAGGCCCTGAAGATCAAAACCATAAACGAGGATGGTCTCTTTGCTCTTATCAGCAAATTGCCTGCCGATGGTGGAGATGGCAAAGCTGCGGAAAAGAGCATAGAGAAGAAGAAAGCAGAAATGGAAAAGATCAAGAAGGATGCGGAAGAAATGGAAAGAGAGGAAAAGCGAAAGGCGGCTGAATTCGAGAAGGCCGAGAAAGAGGCTCGGAAACGCGCCGCTGAGAAAGGTTTCGCGGCACCCCCTCCTGTCAAGAAGGTCGACCCGAATGCGCAACTGTGGACAAGCAAATATGCCCCCACGGCTATCAACCAGATATGTGGTAACAAAGCCCAAGTAGAAAAGATCCAAGCTTGGCTCAAGGGCTGGCCAAAGGCGCATAGACATAATTTTCAGATGAAGGGTGCTGAAGGTCTTGGGGGATATCGGGCAATTATCATTCATGGCCCTCCTGGGATTGGAAAGACAACCGCTGCACATATGGCAGCCAAGCTTTCTGGCTACGACGTTATTGAGAGCAACGCAAGTGACACTCGAAGCAAAAAGCTCGTTGAATCTGGTCTCAGCGAGGTGCTGAATAATACTTCTCTGAATGGGTTCTTTGCAGGCGATGGCAAGGATGTCAATCTCCAGAAGAAGAAGATTGTTCTGATTATGGACGAGGTGGATGGAATGTCAGCAGGAGATCGCGGTGGAGTGGGAGCCCTTGCAAAGGTGTGCAAAAAGACAGACATCCCCATGATTTTGATATGCAACGAGAGAAAGCTGCCGAAGATGAAGCCATTTGACTTCGTCACCTTCGACATTCCGTTCCGGCGACCAACACTTGAGCAAGTCCGGTCTCGGATTGCCACCATCTGCCACAGAGAAGGCCTGAAGCTCCCTGGAAATGTCATCGATGCTCTTATTGAAGGCAGCAACAGGGATATTCGACAAATTATCAACATGATATCCACGGCGAAGCTGGATCAATCTGCTATGGACTTTGATCAGGGCAAGGCAATGTCCAAGGCTTGGGAGAAGCACATTGTTTTGAAACCCTGGGACATTTGTCACAAGTTACTTGGGGGAGGCATGTTCGCTCCATCAAGCAAGGCTACTCTGAATGACAAGATTGAACTCTACTTCAACGACCACGAATTCAGTTACCTGATGATCCAAGAAAATTATTTGAGCACAAAGCCGGCGCTCGCCTCGAACATGGATGCTCGGGAAGCAAGACTGAAGGCCCTACAGCTCGCCGACCAAGCCGCTGAAAGCATTAGTGACGGTGACTTGGTGGATAGAATGATCCACGGGTCACAACAGCAATGGAGTCTTATGCCAACCCACGCCGTGTTCAGTGCCGTCAGACCCGCTTCTTTCACGGCTGGCCTCATGACAGGACAGACAGCTTTCACAAAGTGGTTGGGTAACAACAGCAAGCTGGGAAAGCTCACTCGATTTGTTAAAGAGATCCAGTCGCACATGCGCCTGCGAACATCCGGAGATCGCCACGAGATCCGTCAGCAGTATCTACCGGTACTATGGACCCAAATGATCAAGCGGCTTGAGCTTGAGGGCAAGGATTGCGTGGAAGAAGTTATTGATCTGATGGACAGCTACTTTCTCACCCGGGACGATTATGACTACATTATGGAGCTTGGCCTGGGACCTCAAGATATGGAGAAGGTTCATCTGGAGACCCAGACCAAGGCCAGCTTCACCAGACAGCAAGTCCCCAAAGATCTTGACGCGTAGAAGAAACTGTTGCTAACTTCCTCAGATACAACTCCCGAACTCATCCCCTTCCGTTCATGAAGGCTAGCAGTGCCAATGTCCCTGCCGCCGCCAAAAAGGCCGCCCCAGATCTAGAAGAAGCGTTCGAAGAGGAGGACGATGATGTAGAAATTGCAGAAGTCAAGGACGATGACGAGGAGGCTGACTTGAAGAAAGACAAGTATATCAGGCAGCCGAAAGCCAAGAAGGCCACTGGGGTGAAGAAAGCGCCGAGGAAAAAGAGCGCCAAGGATGAGGATGATGACGAGGGCGAAGATTCGGAGGAGGATATCAAGCCGAAGAAAAAGGCCAAGGCTAAGGCCAAGTCAGCAGCGACGAAGGGAAAGGGAAAGAAATGAGGGTAGATGGTTTGAGGAGTGCTAAGGTGTCATGAAGGGAGGGTTTGATTGTATATGTATGTACTGCATTTTCTAAGTGCGGCGGGATTTGGAGGATACGATCATGATTTCAGGGGTCTTCACTGAAAAATATAGGTTTCGTAAAAGAGAAATATAGGATACGGTTTCGATATTCCTCCCGTCATTGTCTGTTACTCCTCCATGAATGTCCTATGCTTTGTGGAACTATACAAAAGCATGATCCAGCTCGTTGCAGATAGATAACGAGGACGCAACATCTTCATACGCTAGACACACCTGTCGAGAAAGGGCTTCTCTAAAATAGGAACGCCCAGCAGCCATGAAATCCAGGTTCTGCGTTGCGTCTGGTCCTTTCGGGGGATCCGCTCTCGCGATACCGACAAGTTTGAGCTGGAACTGATGTGCTGCGGCTCTCTGAGAACCGCCTTGTCAGCGGCTACGATAAGACAACCTCCTTATCTGTGTCCTCGATCTCGTGGGGGGGGGGGCTGGGTGCGGACTATATGGCTGGCGGATTCAGGTTCGTGGGGACGGCGGTTACCCTCCTCGAGCCAGAGCGCGATGGGTTGTGGAGAACGACGTCGCTGCTGGCTATTATGGGAGGGGATTTCGCTGGCGAGGTTGTGTTGTGTGGTCAAATGGGGAGGAGATGCGAAGAGCCGAACAGAAGTATTAATTGGGGACGATGCCCGCCTTGTTTACAGTGGATAGGTATGAACTCTCTGTCTCGCTTAAGGCTGTTAGCGCTTAGCGAAATGCCACGTCAAGTGTACGGAGTCAGGAAATTTCGGAGCCGCACTCTGACGCTGGAATCTTGGTTGCGGTTGCTACGATTTCTCTGGGAAATTCTTTCATCATGAGCCTTGCCCCAGGCCCTAGAACTCCAGTGCTGCTTCGGCATCGGTGATTGGGGAGTTTATGCGTGGCATTCACAAGCCTGTGTGATGCTCCAGTCTACGGCTCTTGGGCTGACGAACAGCCAGCTCTCATTATGTATTATGCAAACTGCATCTCCGAGTGCTGTTCCTGCATGTTCTGTCGCACACCTGCCGGGACGCAGGAACCCACGAACAAGTCCCGATCCCCCGGCTCATCTGAAGAAAAACCTCCAGTACGGACGGCAAGTCCGGCTCCATCCAGATGCTGCTTTGGCTTTGCAGTACGCTGTGGCAGAAGCATGTTGGAAAAGCTGGGGGTCGGGACACACAATGTGTTCTTTGATCGTTGCGGCCTTGTATGTGGCGGGTCACATTCCAGAATCCAGACTCGAGGATCAGCACGAGTACAATCAAAGCAGGTCTCGGCGGGAGTGGTAGAGCATTTCTTCATTGTTTATGCCAGCCACTCCCATGACAAGTGATGGCACGCTAGTTGCGAGATAGAAGGAGTGGATGGATGACCTGCTGGGTTCTGATGGATCTTCGGCTTTATTCGGGCTATGATCCCCCTCTCAACTTACAAGCCTCTCGTCGAGAGATATTATATCGTTTTCTTTGTCCATTATGCTGCAATACTGGATCAAATGGTCGTGGTGCTCATCTACAGCGTTGAAGTGTTGCTCAACCCGGGGATGCCAAAGCGGCCTAGCAGCATTCCTCGTCTACCACCACACCAACCACAATCCCAATGTCCCCCGCCTCTTTCAGAAGTGGAGAAATCGGAGAGGCTGGACAAAGGAATCATAGAGGTCAGTTCTTTTGCTCGCTCAACGAGCAAATGCCCCAGTATCACGTTTAGCAGAGCTCGAAGACCAGAGACATCCGCATTCCAAGGCCCTCATCGTGGATGAATAGTGCAGTCTAATACCGATGGCTGGGTAGTTATGTCGGCACAACGGACCTTTGCATAAGTATCTCCTCTCGGACTGTTTCGCCTGTTTGATTCATCAGATCACGCATCGGATTCCTCGCCTCCTGCCCTGCATAAACAATCTCACTCTTACCTGCCTCACTGCAAGCCACTACCGCATACCAGCCTTTGAAACTCAACCTCTCTCATCTCCTAGCACCAGCCTGACTCAGTGTGTCATTCTCTGCCGTGGCATCCTACCCCAACATTAAAGGGCGCCAGCATGTTTTCGCAGGGCTACGAAGAGCTCGGTGCCGAGTTCTTTGACCAGTTCCTCACCTACAGTCCCGAGGACAATGAGACACCCGACTACTCAACAAACCAAGAATCCAGCAGCTACCTTGAACAATCAAACAGATACCAATCTGCCAATGGGTCGTCGAGCTCCATCGATGAAGCTAGCAACGGCATAGCCAGCTGGCAATACGCATCGTGGGCGCCAGATAATCATGATCATGATCATGTCGTCTCCTCGTTCAACTCGGCTTCAGGCGACCAGTTCTACGGCATTTCTGCAAGAGCTGCAATATCGGACACTGAGCTGCTCAGCCTCGAAGGTATCAGGCTCGAATGTCCGCGGGCCGATGCATACTCGCATAGATCGTTGCCGTCTTCTCCAACACTCGCTTTGGCACACCCCCCGCTGCGAAGAAAGAACTGCGTTGTCGAGTCTTTGTCTAAGACGTTCAAAAAGGCGACAGCCAACCTCGACAAGAGTCTTCTCCGCAGTCCCATCAGGAAACAGAAGTCGACTCCAAAAATAATGGGAGCTATTCACGGAAACCAAAACCACAGCAGCAGTAACCTGGATCTCTGGGACCTGAAGCTCGACAAGTTCAAATTTGACTTCGAGCGCGATGATGCGCCACTCTCGCCACCACCATCGTCCAAAGCACCAGATGTGCCGCAACTCGCCCACTTCCACTCGGATCCCCAGAAAGGGGAGCTCCTTGATGGCTTCACCTACAAGAATGCTTTGACACGGCCGCAGCACACGGCCAGATCTACGGGCTACGACACTCCTCTGTCGAGTCCAACATTGGACAACAACAACTACCCGTCGCGACGAACAAGCCAACAGCTGCGTTCAGGCAGCGCTCTCTTCCCCATCACGCCCCAAGCCCAGAATGCTTCAGGCTCAGGCTCAGGCTCAGGATCTTGGTCCCAGCTGCCAAACTCTCCAGGGTTCAACAGCCACGGAGACACATCGATATATCCCGAAATCGAGTCCCCATTATGGTGGGGTCATGCTGCTACAGCACCGATGGCCCATCCATCGCCCAACAACTTCCACTCGAATGCGCAGCGAACGAGCAAAACACTAGCAATGCAACTTCGAAACGATCTCGCATATAACAATAACAACAGCAGCAACCACAACGATCTGGCATACGACTCAGCGAACATGGCCAACGGACTCATGATCCAGATGCCCGAGTCCGCCACTCGGCAGTCGTTCGTGATGGGCACTCCACCCCAGCACTCGCAAGGCTACTTTCCCAGCCCTCACTCCCAGTCGCACCACTACCACCAACAGCAACAGCAACAGCAACGGCAACGGCACCACCGCCAGCTGAGCGGGAACCGACAAGCCTCGCACCACGCCCGGCCAAGGCACCCCCAACTCTCCAGTCCCCCCGTGATCCGCAAGAGCCGATCCACAAGCAGCGACTCGGACTCGGAGTCGCCGTCGCCGTTGCCGCGCCACGGGCAGCAGCAGCCGGCCTTCCACGTCCGGAAGCGCAAGACCAAGTCTAGCAAGCAGGCGACGCCGCGGACGCCGAGCAGCAGCAGCATCGCCGCCGGCGCAGTGGACTTTGTCAACTACACGCCGAGTGACAGCCGCAAGATCCTGACCGGGGTGGCGCCCAGTGGGAGCTCGAAGACGAAGGCGAGGAGGGAGAAGGAGGCGCTGGAAAAGAGGCGGAAGTTGAGCCAGGCGGCCATGAGGGCTGTGAAGGCTGCTGGCGGCGATGTGGACAGTCTTGTCGAGGAGGGCCTTTTCGTTTGAGCCGTGGTTGGGATTGTCTTTTCTTCCCGTCTTGAGCCTCTTTTTCTTCTTCTTCTTCTTCTTCTTCTTCTTCTTCTTCTTTCGTACTTGTGGCAAGGAAAGCAACCTTGTTCTTTTTTAATAATTCCTCTGGAGATGTAACATGCAGTGAAGGCTGCATGAGCGAGAGAGCGAGCGGGCTTGTAAGCTGTATATTATCTGTACCACAGAGCGGATATGGAGTTGAGCTGCTGGCTGGGGGGTCTAGATCTAACCTGATTATAATTTGACAAAAGTCTACTTATTCAGAAACCCTCCGCATTTTTTCTTCTTCTTCCTCTTCTTTATCTGCCCTTGTTTGTAAATGAATCAGTGAAACGACTGACTGCTTGACCGTATAACGGAAGCAAAAAAAAAACAAAAAAAACAGGCAAAGCAATCACGACAACGAAGACGTCCCAATATCCAACACACGGCACTCCACTTCAACTTATCCCTCCTCCCCCCCCTTCCAAATTTGAGAAATCTACGCTCCCTCCTCTCTGTTCTGTCCATCCGACAGCGGCCATCCCCAGCCTCTCAAACTCGCACCCAGAAAATAAAAAGGAAGAGAAAATGTACAGAAGAACGTATAAATAACTACATGTAGATAACCAATCCCCCTACTTTTCATCTCTCTTCTTTTCTTTCAAGGGGCTACTAGCCCTTGAGCGGCTTCCAGCGAGTCAACAGCAGCTCTTCGCAGCGAACAAACTGGATAGGGAGGTAGGTGGGTGGGGGGAGGTAAGGAGGGATGTGCCGGTATGTACGGTGCAGTGAGAGAGATTTTTATTTTCGTCTGAAGTTGCTTGATCTGGAGAGTGAAGTGGTTGACGTCACGTGTGATCAGCAGAGGTACCGGTAGTCCTTGCACGACCGACGCACGCCAGCGCAGTGGCTGCGAGGAGATGGGATGGGATGAAAAGCATTCGAAGAAGGCAATTCTCCTCCCTAGATATCTCCTCTTATTCTATCCTATCCTATCCTATCCCGAGACATGATTTACTGTAGCTAATCCACCAGCTGGTACAGTACGAGGCTTGAAACATTGCTGTTGATCTAGGTATTACAGTAATAAGGTTACTACTTAATGAGGTTACCTACTCGCTTATACTGCTTACTTATTTACAGTATTTCGTCCATTCGTTCATGTGCTTTTGTAGGTACGTCTACCTAGGTACGCAGGCCAGGCCCCCCCGCTGTCCCCCTTTCTCTCCTGTCGAGATCAACGTATTGCAGATTCGCAAGGCCAGGGGAATCGCCTATTCATTCGTCCATCTGTTTCTATTTCGAGATAGACATACATACGGGTTATTGGTGAAAAATGCCATGTATGCGCCGGCGGCGCTCGACTTGGCTTTCTCAGCTCCTTGGGCAAACGCAGGCTCATCACCGCGCCACTCGCTGCCATGCTTGGTTCGTATGCTGGGATTGTTGGATATGTACGGAAGGAGCTCGCTGCGTTTCTGTTGTTACGATCGTGGCTGGATATGTTCGCAGGCGTCTCTTTCAAATACTGATCTCAATATACAATGATATATATATATATATATATATATACACATATATTATATAATATGCGTACGTACATTCCGCCGCAGCGAAGCGCCAGCCTTGCATGCTGTGCTGTGCCGCAGGAGGAGCAGATGACCAGCGGCGGTGACACGATCGGGACACGGCGCAGACTAAGAGTTGCAGCTCATATTTTGCGGAAGACAGCCAGGCCCCGAATCTGCGCTTGGAGAGACTGGTCTTGAGCTCTGCTGCTAGGCCTTCTGTTTTGCTTATGCCTTGCTTCTTCTAGAGTCGACTGCCAGCCAGGTCAAAGTACGTACGTACGTACCCAGTCTGAGAGGCCGTTTTCTCGCAGGTTCACGTGCGTAGGGCGACTGCAATTGCGCTGGGTGAGGCAAGCTTCGCAGTGGTTGCTTCTTTTGAGGGTGGTTTGTTCTGACGGTATTTCTCTAGTGCTTCTATTTACGGGCGTCACGAGTCTGCGGCATTCGTTACCTCGATATATTACGAGGGAGGTTATTTATATATGTGACGAGGGAATGGCAAATTCTGGTTCTGGCGACGAGTACCCCTATCTATGGGGTGGGCGAGACCCTCCAAGGCCAGACGTGAAGCATAACCAGTCGTCGACATCAGATGTAAGTTCGCTGGCGGGATATCAGCCTGGTCATCGAGATTCGGAGGTATTGCTGCCGTCGCCGACCTCAGATCGACCTAAAGACGAGGTGGATGTTAGCCATGTACAGATATCCTCCGGATGTTCAGGAGTGACATCGCCGTATGAGGGGTCTAGAGGTGCTGCTGGCAGGAAGTTGTCATTTGTTCCGGAGACTCTGCGTGCTGGGACGCCTTCGCCTACCACTCGATCGATGTTCAGCACGTTTCGAACCTCGCAGTATGAGCCGATATGGAGCCCGGATGCGGCACCGAGTAAGCCTAGAAGATCATCAAGGCGGTCTTCGGGTAGGGAGACTGGCTCGAGTAGTTGTCTCATGGGTACGGCACACGGCACTAACCCTGAAAATGAGGAAATAGATATGAGTTTGCTAGCGTCCGCGATGCTAATGGGGTTAGCGAATCAACGAACTGCGTATACGAGCGCGGTAGAAGTCGATTCAGAGTTTGCGCCGGCATTATCACCTACAATGTCGGTCGACGTCTCCTCACTTACCGGCCCCCCACAGAACGAGCAACAGTTAAAAGAAGTCAACCGGCAAGAGGCAGCTGGTATTCTGACTGGTGGACTAGGCGCTGGCTGGAAACCGGTTACGACTATCAAAAGTACCGACCTATACGCAAACCAGCCAGCGACACCGAGAACGCCCGCCTCCATGTCTCGTATGTTGTCGTTTCGACGGCCTTCGTTGAGTCGAGATAAAGGGCTAGCGAGGACACAAACGGTCCGGGAACTAGGCCAGATCGAAGCGAACAAGCGAGGAGAGATCATCAAAGTCATCGTGGAAGAACCGACATTCGATATAAGCTCTTTTGCAGGCGATAGCTCAGCAGCTGTGAACTTTGAGTCGATGAATGGAGCCACTACTCGCAAGAACACGTTACATGTTCCACATGTAGAAGTGTTCTATCCACAGGATAACTGGAAGCCGGTCTCTATGCGGTGGTCCTATATCACTGCGCTGATTGTGATCTCAATCAGCCTTGCAGTCGTGCAAGAGGTCGTTCTACAGAAGGGCGCCATCTACACCTTCGTGTCGGCCTCGAAGCTTAGCACTTGGAACTACTTCACGTTCAAGTATTTGCCAACACTGGTAGCGGTCTCGTTTGGCGTGTTGTGGCAGGTGACGGACTTCGAGGTTAAGCGACTGGAGGCGTACTATCAGCTATCTAGACAAGGGGGCGCCCTGGCCGCTGAATCGATCAATGTAGGTCCTTCCAATTCCATATCCATCCAAGATACCACGTGCTGACTTATGCTAGGTCGACTACATCACTTTCTTCAACTTCCTTCGCCCGATCAGAGCGTTGAAGTTCAAGCATTATGCCGTAGCCGTATCTTCACAAGCAACGCTTATGGCCGTCTCTCTCGTCCCAACTCTCCAAGCGGCATCTATCGAACTCAGACCGACCTCTCGAGCCGCACCAGGGTCGGAATTCGCAGACGAGAAACAGATCGCTGTCAATGCTATCTTGTCGAGAATCCTCAGTGCGGTATTAGTCACGATTGCAGTTCTGGGCTCTATCCTCGTCTGGCAGCTGGGAACTCGACCATCAGGTCTCGTGGCAGATGTGAAAGGCATAGCCGGCATAGCAGCCATGGCCAACCGAAGCCACATCCTGATGGACTTCAAAAACATGGACACGGCGACCCCGGAGATGATCCACCAAACCCTCAAATCCCACCGCTACTCCCTCAGGAACTCCTCACTCGCACCCGAGGACAAAGTTCCCCTGACGCAAGCCGAGAAGGACAGATACGATCAGCAGACCCGGCACGGAAACCCACACCCCCTCATGCTGCGTCTCGTGGCAGGAATCCCCTTCATCACAGTCATGATCCTCTTCATAGCCCTCGTGCCCATCGTCCTCTTCGTCCCAGCCCTCGCCGAAGTCACGACCCGAGCGCCCTGGTTCCTCACCGCGCTCGCAGTCGGCATCAAACTCGCCTGGGGCACCCTCGAGACCGACGTGCGCATGATGGAGCCCTTCTACATCCTCTCCAAGCGGCACGCCTCGCCCAGGGTCCTCACGCTAGACTACACCGCCGTGGCCTTCGGCTGGATGCCGATCCGGGCCTTCGTCAACGGGCACCTCCTCGTCGGGCTTGTCGGCCTCGGCTCCGTCCTCGCCGAGATCCTGACCGTGTGCTCCTCCTCCTTCGCCGGCGTGCACGGCAGGGAGTTCTTCGCGCCCAGCACCCCCTCCTACTCCTCCGCGCAGGCCTCCTCCCCCTCCTCCCAGGCCCAGCGTGCCGAGTCGTCGGGCGAGGAGACCTTCCTCTCGTTCTGGCTATCCTTCGGGCTTGCCCTGCTCATCCTCGCCTACCTCTGCTGCGTCGCGGCCCTCGTGTACGTGCGCCGACGCCACATTTTCCTGCCCCGGCAGCCGAGCACGATCGCGAGTGTGCTGGCCTTCATCCACCAGAGCAAGATGCTGAACGACTTTGTCGGCACCGAGAAGATGAACAACGACGAGATGGTCGAGCGGCTGGCGCGCGTGGGCAAGACGTACGGGCTCGGCTGGTTCACGGGGAGGGATGGCGAGATGCATTGTGGGGTGGATGAGGAGGAGTTGGTGAGTGCGTACAAGCATGGGCGTGATGAGCGGAAGGCCATTCAGCCGTGGAGTACGCAGTGGGAGAATTATTAGCTGTGGGGAGTTGGAATGATGATGATGTTGTTGTTATTGTTGTTGTAGGCTTTGGTGTTTCGATGAGCGAGGGTTGGGGCCATGAAACCATTCTAGTTGGTGAAAGACGTATAATAACATCGTACGAACGTAATCGTCCCGAGGCTACGATACATTAGTGTATTCTGTGACAGTGAGGATTATTTCATCGGCTTAAACCTTGAACGGAATCTAATCTCGCGCAAAGGGAACATTGGCCGGCAATCAACCAGTCAATCGATCAAAGAGCGAGACGGCTTTCTCCTCCGGTGTGTTGGTTATAGTTAGAAGAGGACTTATTGCGACTGGTTTCTTGGTTACCGGGTCGAGCGATACATACCTATTCTCTCATCAACACAATTCCCGAAACGAAAAAATCTCACGAGACTGGCAGCGGCCTACCATCGTAAACGCGCACGTCAAAAAGCACATCCCCGTCCTTCACAGTCTCTCCCTGCTTCGGCACCTTCGCGACCTGGATACTAACTTCCATGCTGCTTCTACCCTTAGCGAACGTCGCCATCCCGCTTAACTCCAAGTCACAGATCTCGCTTAAGGGATGCTGGAGCGTGATTCTGTCCACGGCGGCAGTAACCGCCATAACTAACCGAGTCGCCGTCATGCCTCTAGGCTATAACTCCAGCAAGAGCATCGAGATCCATATAGAGCGTCCCCAGCCGGATGTGACCCGATGAAACTGCTCTACGAGTCCCGCAGCCAGGGATCCCGAGCAAGAGGGAGGGTCTGCGTGCCGTCGTCAGTCAGACCTTGGTCATGTGATAGCATCTTTCCATAAGTAGAGGCCCGGGAGGGGGGGGGGAGGAGGGGTTGAAAAAGAAAGACGGGTAGGGCTTACAACGCGGCTCAAGCTATCCGAGATGGACTTCGGGGAGAGATCGCGCTTGGAATGGTCGCTTGTGACGGCGCGAGTGCCGTTCTCGCCTTGTTGTTGCTTGCGGGAGGCTTCGATGAAGGGCATCCGCGGCGCCGGCGCATGGCTCTGTCGGCTCGCCGTAGACGCCAGCGGTGAGACATCTTGATGAGGCGGAGATGGTACGGATTTGCGGGCTTCGCCTTCGCGGTGAGCAGAGGGCTTTGCTGAGGAGGGATACGGCGCGGGGTTTGGATGTCGTGGGAGGTGGTTGTGCAGCGGGTTTGCAGGCTCAAACTGTGAGGTTCGGATTGGGTATGGATGGCGATGTCGGCAAGGCAGGGAGGCATTCGACCACGGCAGGGTGATTACCGTACGTGGAGTTGACAGAGCCACAGGGTTGAAGTTCTCGTTGTTCGGAGAGCAGATGATACAATGTGTTTAAATTCATCAATGTTGAAATTCTCGTTGTTTTTGTTATCTAACATCCTACATACCCTCCTTCGAAAAGGAGTTCTCTACTGGGCTCTCATCTCAATAGCTAGTTGCAGGAGGCTGATACTTTATATAAGGGTCTCACGAAGGCCGTTTTGTTTACTTACGACTACTATCCCCCTAAGTAAAAGTCAGACCCACTTGGTGAAAGCATATTTTGACCGTAAAGCTGACCGCTTATTAAATGTAGCAAAGTAATTTATTTATATATTGATTTTCTAGTATTTTGTAAGTCCTCCTTCTGAATTAATCATTGCGTGATATCGATTTTACTACGAATTATATAAAGAAATAATGAATTCTTGAGGAATTGCTTCTCAAGCGCTAGGGTTACAACCCCCTGTTTAACCCCTGGTATAAATATACATTTCGTATTTTATTTAGGGGGCGGTGGATACCAACAGTAGTACTGTATTAGAGGTAACAGCAGGCTACCAGCCAGTAATTACTACTAAGTCAGGTAAAATAGTCCCAGCTTAGACACGAGGCCACACCAGGGCATGTCATCCGTGCTAAATCTTAAAATACAACGTAGGGGGGGTTCCCCTTTTTTGAGGCTAAAAATATGGATCTTCCGCAGTCGGATCACTCGGACGGACCCTGAGAAGCAAATCTAAATAGAGCTTGGGGCACAGGGGCACTGAGGCTTGACGCTGGAGCAGCTTTCAAGATTCACAGATTGGCTTCTGCGGCTCAGACGTTCAGGACGGGTCAACTAAATGCAGAGTATGGATACGATTGGTTTGCGGCCAGGTGGTAAACGATGAAGCATCATTCGTCTCGAGGAAAACAAAGAATAAAAGCCGCCAAATTTTGAAGGAAGGACATGGATACGGCATGGCCACCGGAAATAACCATATCTGTAAACGTCATCGGAGTTCATGCAGATTACTGTATTGCAGACGTCAGACTTCCACACTTCTTTGGATCAACTCTATTAGCCAAGATAATGCGGGCGTCGGGACAGGTAGTAGATACTGGCGGTCTTGAACGCGCGAGGGAGGAGCGGTACTTTTATACAGTACCGGTAGTAGTTATAGGTAGAAGTATAAGTATAATGCGGCTGATGGAGACGAGATCACATCTGGACGCGAGCCTGGTAAATTCTCGGTATTTGGTGAAGAGAGAGGCTGTGCAACGAGGTCAAGAATGGATGATGATGATGCATACATAGGACTCAGGAGATTATGCTCCCGCTCCAAGTACCAGACAGGAGGTGTTTGTGATATGCGCCCGAGGTTCACTGGCGTGCATGTCATGAACGTATGGAATAGCCACCAGACGCCAGACGCCAGACGCCGGACGCCAGGCGCGCTTGGGAAGAGGTGACTGCAAGAGACGGGGGAGAAGAACTGTTGTTGACGCGGTAGTGACGATGGTGATGGTGAAGGTGATTCGCGATTCGAGACGGGGTAGTGATGTGGTGGTGAGCTTGTGCTTACCGTAGAGAGGTTGGGGATCCTGGATCCTCTTGGTAGCTGGCTGAGCTGCTGACCCAAGGGCCTTGGGCTTGGGCTTGGGCTTGGGAGTTGAAGGGCCGACTGGCTCCAGTGGAGTACCTAGGTAGGTACAGGAAGTACCGTAGAAGAAGTGGAAGTAGGGTGGTACTGTGGGCTGTATGTAGCATTTGCTGTGAAGGACTGTTGTACTAGTATCTCAAAATATCCAATTGTGAACCTGCCACTTCAGATTCCGATTTCATATTCACGCTCACGATGTTTTCCGATTTATTTATATCCCCATCCGACGTAAATGATGCCACGGTTCGGCTGAGGGGGTGCGTCGTTAGAGACCCGCGATGGAGACACGGCGCTATAGCCACTTCTGGCTAATAGTGGGTCAGTCCCGCCATCAGCGCCCTGCTCAGCCACTTCGTGCACGTCCTTTTTACTCGGGCTACGTGACTGTACGGTAGGCGGTATGGTACCGAAACGGGGATCGCTCGTACTCCGTACACAACATTCCAGCCTCCACTCATTTGTCTTCCCCTTCAACACCATCATCTCAACTCACAACACAATACCACCTCCACCTCCACCATCATCCCCTGCCGCCCTCACCTCACCTCACCTCTCCTCACCTCGCCTCTCCTCACCTCGACGTCAACGTCGACGACATCCCTCGTTCGTCTCGACTCTCGTCTCTACTCCCGCCCACATCTTACCCCCCTAACTTCACTCGTTAAGTCGTATGCTGGGAAATCTCTCTCCCCACCCCCCATTCAGACGTTCAACACAGCAGACCAGGTAGCCAGCCGAACCTCCAGGGGCCCAGCGGCATCGTCCCTCACTTCTCTCCCACTTCGATCTACATCGTCAACCTTCGGCCCTCGGGACTCTCCGATCAAGGCCCGCGTTTTGGTGTGAAAGGCTCGGTGAGGGAGGTTCTTCGTCGGCGGACACACAGGAAGAATTTCACCAGAGTCCGTCGGGAGCATCGGTCACCGCGTCTACCTTAACGCCACGACGGCTCTCCACCACCCCATCAACGCCCCATCATGCGCTTCTCGTTATCACTCTTGCCGTTCATACATACCATTTCTCTCCTTTCCCTCTTCTCCGGCGCCTCCGCGGTCAAACTCATCGAGTCAAACTCCCTCAACTCTTGCCAGGACAATTCCAGTTTCACGGCCAGTCTTTTCAATGTTGTCTTCACGCCAGTCAACAAAACACTCACATTCGATATTGTTGGTATTGCGTCAATTCAGGGCAATGTTAACTTTGCAGTTGAGGTGTGGGCGTACGGGTACAGCGTTATAACGGAGAATCTCGATCCTTGTTCTTTGGCGGAGATGAAGGGATTGTGTCCCATGTCCACTGGCCAGATCGATATTTCATCGAACCTCCCACTGGGCGATAATGCCGTCAACCAAATCCCCGGAATTGCTTACGGTGTACCGGATCTGGACGCCACTGCCAGAATCCTCATCACCGCCGTTGATAATCCCGGTGTGAATCTGGCCTGCGTGGAAGCGAGGCTATCTAACGGACAAACCGTTGATCAGAAAGGAGTTTCATGGACTACTGCAGTTATCGCAGGTTTAGCGCTCGTGGCTTCTGCTGTCACCTCTGGACTCGGACATTCAAATACAGCTGCCCATGTCGCTTCCAACGCACTGTCTCTCTTTGGATACTTCCAAGCACAGGCTATTGTTGGTTTGACCGCGGTCCCCCTTCCACCGATTGTTCAATCCTGGACTCAGAACTTTCAATGGACGATGGGTATCATACATATGGATTTCATGCAGACCATCGCCACCTGGTACCAAAAATCTACTGGGGGAACTCCTGCCACCCTGTTCAATAAACTCACTACAACATCCGTCCAGGTTCTCAAGAGATCCGCGCCACTCGTCTCCAAGCGCTCTGTCCATGAGACAATCAATCTCCTCTCCGAAGCGCACGCCTTGAGTAAGCGTGCTACACCGACTGCTTCTGGAACATACGTCGTTAGAGGCATAAAGAGGGTCGCATTTCGCGCCGGTATGGAGGCAACGAATTTCTTCATGACCGGACTTGCCTTCTTCTGCATCCTCATCTGCTTCACCATTATCTTTGTGTCCATGTTCAAGGGTTTCTGCGAACTTGCGGTCCGAATGCAATGGATGAAAGGCGACAAATTCGAGGATTTCCGCAACGGGTGGTTTACGGTCCTGAAGGGCATCATGTATCGCATGGTTCTCATTGGGTACCCACAGATGACTATTCTTTGCTTGTGGGAGTTCACTCAGAAAGACTCCCCTGCTATACTTGTCCTTGCTATTTTCTTCTTTTTCGGTATGACAGGAACACTTGCCTGGGCAGCTCTCAAAGTCGTCCGTATCGCACAGCGCTCGGTCCAAATGCACAAGAACGCCGCCTACATACTATACTCCGATCCATCAGCACTCAACAAGTGGGGATTCCTCTACGTCCAGTTCAGAGCTACCGCCTACTACTTTATCCTCCCGACTGTGGCACATATTCTCGTGAAAGGCATGTTTATTGCTTTTGGCCAGAATTCTGGAACCACACAAGCCATTGCGTTGATCATGATCGAGGCGAGTCTCCTGATCGGAGCCAGTGTTATTCGACCATGGATGGACAAGAGCACCAACACCTTTAACATTGCCATCTGCTCAGTCAACTTCGTGAACGCTATCTTCTTGCTCATTTTCACCGATGTCTTCAACCAGCCGGGTCTCGTAACGGGTATTGTGGGCGTTATCTTCTTCATCGTCAACGCCGTCCTCTCCTTGGTTCTTCTGGTCTTGGTACTAATAGCGACGATCTATGCCTTCGTTCGGAAAAACCCAGATGCCCGCTACCAACCAATGGGCGACGACCGAGCTTCGTTCATCAAGTCCCAAACAACGCTGACAACGGAGCTGGACGCATTAGGTGCAACCGCCAGAGGGGAACTGAAGGGTGGCTACAAGCACAACTTGGACTTGGATGATGATAATGAGTCTTGGTCAACAGACTCTATGAGAAACGCGAAAAACCAGCCTCTTCCTCCTTCAACAGCCAACTCCGGAGCCGGAACTTACGTCTCCAGAGAGCCGCCTCACTCTCCTATTGACCCATCAGTTCCTTTATTCCCTGCCGGCCGTGATTCTCCGACAAACTATCAGAACCAAAACTCGGGCTACGCAAACAGCCCTGACGGTCTTCACGCGAACAATATTCCATTGATGGGTGGCAGACCGAACACTGCATCGTCTGATCATTACCGCGACGATTCAAACTCAAACTTATCTGCCGCATATCGGTCACAACATAGTGCGAGCCCTGCGGGATATAGAAACTATAATAACTCCAGGTAAGACTATTCTATTGCCGTGTCCTTATCCCAAACTAAAACGAGGCAGCCCCTGGCAACGTGGTGCTGGTTACGACCATTGATGAATTGGGATTGATTGGTGTTTTTTCCCGATTGAGGCTCTGCCTCGATCCTACGGCCGATGTTATCGTTATTGAGCAATAATCTTCTCACATCCTCCGACGGCGGAGGAAGTCGGCGGCTAGTTGTGCGTAGCACTAGTAATTCTTGCATACCCTTGTGGTTTGATTTTTTGTACTGAGGAAAGGAGACGAGGGTGCACTGGCCGCATAGGCCTCTCCAGCAGACGAGTCGGGCCATATGTGGTTCCAACCTTCCTGCGAGGGGGCTAAACCTCATTTTTTTTTCCCATTGCGTTCGGGCGTTGGGTAGCTGTGGGCAAGCGGGATTGTCGCGATTCCGGGTGGTACGTAGATGCGAGAGACATCGGTGGGTGGAAGGGGGAGAGAGATGGATTGGAGTGATCACATGGATTGGAGTGATCCTGGATGTCGAGGTTGATTGTGCATCCGGGTCTGAGTATATATAATCAATCAACTTCCTTCGCGCATTCTTGATGTAATTTAGGGGGAAGGGGGAAGAAGCATTCAAAAGAATGTGAGCAAGAGGAGTGTACCGTGTATAGATAGACTATACATTAAACTTGTTCCTGTCCCATTCGCGCCCGTTGGGGGTCTTGAGCTTGTACATGTGTCTCTCTATATTGTTGTTACTGGTCTGCCTTGTTATATTTCGATTTTCTATTTCTATCTTTCTCGATTTATGCTTGTTGGATGGGTGCACAGATGGCCGGGCTACCCTTACACGCACGCTTTGCCGAGCTTTGCTGATGAGGGAGAATGAAGAGCGTGTTGCGTGTGTGTATGTATATATATGTATATATATACATGTCTTCGTTCCCTTTGTAGGTAGCTTTCTCTCTCTCTCTCTCTCTCTCTCTCTGCCCATCCCATCCAAGTACCAATCTAACACTCCGCAGCCAGACACACACTCACATCAGCTCTCTTCCTTCTCTCGTCCAGCCTCAACCTTCTTCTCCGTACTCTCGACATCTCCACGCTCCATCACAGACCCGTCACCCTGACCCGCGAAATCCTGCACCTTCTTCCTAGAGCGTCTGGCAACACGTTGAGAGAAGTGCGCACACAGCAGCACGAGACACGCCAGAAGAAGAAGGCATAGGCAGGCACTCGCACCGCTCGTCGATACACCTGTCCCAGCGACCCCATCCCCCCCATCCCCAACTCCGACTCCAACGCCAACCGTCACTGGCACCAACCCGACCAACCCCAATAGCCCCCTTTTACCCACGACCGCCACCGCACCCCCCTGCTTCCACCCATCTCTCACATCATCCCTCCCCCACGGCCGACGGTGCCACCCCCACCTGCCCGCCGGGATGTCCAGCTTGTTACCCTTCACGATCCCAACGCCGCCCGTCGGATCGCCTAGCCCGTCCCAGTCGTACCACGTGTAGCGTTCGAACTCCATGTCGTAGCTGCTCGGCCGGCATGTCCCGTTCTTGCAGCCGTGCGAGGCGACGATGGCGGCTGCGTGCGGACAGGACGCGTACAGGGCCGGGAGATGGTGGTGGTGCAAGTACTGCCAGGTGAGGTTGCGGCCGGAGCAGGCGTCTGTGGGCATGGTCAGCTTTCAGCCGTGGGGCGGACGGGCACATGTCGTGATGTCCTCTGAGGCGGAAGCAGGAAGAGCGCGAGGCAGAAGAAGAAGAAGAAGAAGAAAAGAAGAAAAAGAAGAAAAAGAATAGAGGAGCCACGACAGACTCACCCCGATCCAGCCACGAGTCGGCCGATAACGAATTCCCCATCTCTTCCACGCCTCGTGCGGTACAGGATTATCTCGAGATAGGTAGTAACTCTTAGGTAGTAGGTAGTCGGCATGAAGCGAGCCTGGTCTTTTCTCGTATAGAGAATATATTGAGTCGCGAAGAGCTCGCTTTTCAGAGAATCGAGTCCTGATACTCTCGTTCCTATTTTCGCTCAAAGTAGGTCGCCACGTTCCGCTTCCTCGGAGGAAGGTAAGGGGCAAAAGAATGCGATGGTTGATAGATGATAATTGAGGAATGATAAGTGAGTGAGTAATAGATGAGTGAAGGTAGACGGTAATCACAAAAAGAAAAAGAAAGAGAGAGAGAGAGAGAGAGAGAGGGAAAAAAAAGTTGAAATTTGACATTTGAAAACCCACGCACTAAGAGGAGCCGCTACCTACCTGGGTGACCTTAGAAGGTAGATAGATCGGGGCCTATTCAAACTCGTAGTCTTCTCTCTAACCTTGCAGAGAAAGAACGAACGCTGGCTCGCTCTTCTCATTTAGAAATGGACGGCTTTTTGGCTGGTTGTAGTATATGACGATGGACTCGGCTAGTTTAGAATGGACTTAGATTAAACTGGATTAGATAGACTAGATTGGATTTAACTAGACTAGAATATACTATACTATACTATACTATACTATACTATACTATACTATACTATACTACCTAAAGCTCATCCATTCACCCACCCACCCATCCACTCGTCTCGCTTCCGCTCTTCGCTTCTCGCTTACTAATCAAGTACCACCCACCCGTGTGCTTCCCATACGGAATAGGTATCTACACAAGCGCGGTTCGACAGTCAGATACACATAGCTATCTAGAAACAACTAACCTCCCAAATCACCACCATCATGACACATACACAACTACACATAATACACAACCTCCCCTCCCCCCCGTTCCTTTTCTCACCCTCGATTGTGAAAGTAAAACAATAGAAAAGAAGAAAAACATCTAGATGTTCCCCAGCCCCAGCCCCAGCCCCAGCCCCAGCCTCAACCCTAGTCGTGACCACCTACGGTAGACCTACCTACGGTACCTTACCTTCCCTTCCCTTCCCTTCCCTTCCATATCCCCCAAGCAAGCGAAGAACCAACCAACCAACCCATCAGGAAAGGAAAGGAAAGGAAAGGAAAGGAAAGAAAAAAAAATTTTAAAAAAAAGAAACGGCAATCTTCATGCGTACAGATATACAGATAGATGAGAGGGCCTTTTTAGGTCTTCCCCATTCCCTCCCTCCCTTTCTCCCTCCCTCCCTTCGCTTCCCTTCGCTTCAGGCTAGGTAGGTCTTTGGGGCGTTTTTTTTTTTCTTTTTTTTCTTTCTTCTTGATATTCATCCCGTCTTTTGGAATTACGAGTCTGTGGATGAGAAGAAGAGGAGAAAGTAGAAATAGTAACGAAAAGTGTATATATATAAAAGAGGAAATAAAAGAAAGCAGAGGAGGGAGAAAGGAAAAAAAAAAAAAAACATAAATGCAAGAGGCAAGCGATCTGCTTATCGGTATACGTATATACCTATAATAAATACCCCTTCCTCCTAACCCCCCCGTTGTTTATGTGAAGCGTGTGTAGTGAGAGTGGAGCGAAGTATATATATATATATATATATAAAAACTACCGAGATTTTGACTGCTGAACTTGATTTGGAACAGAAGAGAGGAAGGAAAGGGAGGAAGGAAAGGAAAGGAAGGGAAGAAAGAGAGAATAAAAAAGGAGGACAGCAAGGAAAACAAATACAAGTTCTTGTCTACTATCTAGCACGAGGTTGACATCACAGAGGTAATCAGGGATATGAAAGAAAGGTGTCAAAGCACAAGGCACGAGAGAAAAATCATCTTGAGATACTGCCCACCCCATGCATGGAAAAGGCGCCGTTTCGCTCACACCTATGTATCGGTAAGTAGGTAGGTAGGTAGGTAGGTAGGTAGCTAGGTAAGTAGGTAAGTAGGTAGTAGTATCAAAAGAAACATGCCCCTTTTCACCACCACCCACCCGCGCTCTCACAATTCGTTTCCCCAGCAATGCGGAAAGCCATCTCATCTCATCTCATGCCAAATGCCCATCCATCCATCCTTGGTTTATTCTCTCGATTCAGATACATCTCCACACGCTATCCCCTCCTATCTCTTCGTTTCATCTCACGAAGCTCTACCATTTCGTACAGTTGTAAAGCAGAGCAGAAAAAAAAAACGCCAGGTAGAAACAAGTACATACACCAGCACCGACCAAGAACCGAAAAACGCCATGCTAGACAAAGGATCATCGAACGCAGAAGCCAGGCCGAAGCAGCGAGGGAGCATTGGGATTTAGGTACGCTGCCAATGCAACCGCAACGCGAAACCTGAGAAAATTACAGTGCCTGCAAGCCATTTCTAATCACCCTCAGACCTCATCCGGCGGCCCATCGTCTGCCTTGACTTCCGCTCCATCATCTTCGGCCACTGGTTCTGTCTCATCAGGTTCAGCAGCGTCAGGTTCAGCGGCCAAAGCGTCAGCTTGTGTCATTCCATTCTGCCTCTCCCACACTTCTTTACGTATGCGCTCATCCTTGAGTTTGCGGGCTCGCTCAACTTCCTCGAAACCACCTGCTTTCTTGAGCTTGCCCTCTTCCACGAACGTACCGAGCTCTTTCTGGAACTCGCCGCCTCGTCTGCTCTCCAGCTCTTTCTGGCGCAGCTTTTCGGCGCGCTCGATGGCTTCGAGGCGGTTCTCGTGGTTCGGTTGCAAGGCGCGGACTTCACCTAAGACACCTTCTTTAGCGACCGAGGGGTCAGCAGACACGTGGTTCAATCCCCTCGAGAGCACGCGTGCTGCGTTTGACGTTCCCGGATTATCCTTCATCTGTTCCTTCGTCGCCTGCTCCACGAGAGCGAAGGTCTGGGCTGCTTTCTCGAGATCGTCCTCGAGATCTGCAGCTAGTTCTTCTTGCATCGTCAACTCCTCGCGATCATTGCAGACGGTCTCAAGTTCCTTCTCCCAGATCTTGGTCCAGATTGGACGCTCGCGCTTGAGGAAGTCCTTCATCTTTTTGAGTTCCATAGTAGCCTGAGAAATATCTTTGGCCACCGTCTCGAGTTGTCGAGGGAGAGGACGCACGCCACGAAGAACGACATCCTTGCGGAGATCTTCAACGATATCCTGGAGGTCGTCGACTTGGCCCACCAACCTGTCGGATTCTACGTTGAGATCTTTCTTTCCACCGTTGACGTATGCCCGGCCCGAGTCTCCTTTGAGATCTGGTATAGCAGTTTTGGCGGCCACAGCTTTGACGGAGTCCGCCGTCTTACGCAGAGTAGACATCGAATTCTGAACATCGGACTGGAACGAGGAATAGACCTGACGAATAACTGCAAGATCACGGCGCAGGCTGTTAAGCTCAATTATCTGATCCGACTTCTTAACTTTCGAAGGACTGGTCGTTGGCACGATAGATCTTTGATTGTCAGCATGTGACGCCGTCGAAGCCGGGAGTGGCCCGGATGCCATTCGTGTAATCTCCCTTGCAGCGTCTTGTTGCCGGTCCGAGACACGTTGTATAGTGGCTTGCTGGTCATCGACCGCAACTTTAACGTCTTGGACTATTTTCCTGATGCCGCCAAGCCCCTCATCAATATGACGTTTGACCTCATCCAGGACCTCTACATTCAGTACCAATACCGATCTATCTTTGATATCGGCGAGATCCTCAAGCTCGTGACGCACACCCGAGACCTGGTCCTGGATGTATATCTCGGGCAGGTCGACCCCATTATTATGAGTATTCCATGAGAATTTTTCAATAAATGCTAGCTGCAGTTTTGCCATAGACAAATCATCATATCCATCCGTAAGAACGAATTTCTTAACCTTTGTCTTGTATTGCAAGAATATTGTCAGTTCCTTCCCGGGAGGTGGAGTGGGCTCAGGAGTGTATCTTCTCCGCTCAACCGTACTCGGCGACTGTCGTGTAGACGGCCCTTGTTCTTTGGGTGTATCGGGGCCCTGAAGTTTATTTGCAGCATCGAAAGTTTGCATAGGAAAAGACGAAGAAGGGTCGGAAGGCAGTCCTTGTAGGGTTGCGCTTGGTGTTGCGTCCAACTCATAATTGGGCGATCTATATTTGTCAGTCGGGGTCTTTGCAATAGTACTGTCGGTAGAATCGCTCGGTGGCGGCAAAGCCGATGTTGGAGTTGGCGAGGATTCTTCTAAAACTCGACTCGGGATACGAGCTGGAGAATAGTCAATATTTAAGCGACTGGAAAGTTGACGTGTGTGTCGTTGGTCACCTCGATTTTGAACGGCTCGCATGGACTCGCGAGCGTCGTTGCGACCCCTATTAGGAATCGGCGAGTTTTGGGCTGGGGGCATCATGGGTACACCATTTGGCGATGCACCCAGATGCTTTGATATCTGGTAAGCCGAATATCTTCTCGAGGCCCTTCTCTCCAATTCCCCACCTCTCTGTAGTGCTGCAAGAGCATTCTGTGTCTTGGCCGGCGGAGGTGGGGGTGGGAAATCGTTCACACTGAGATCTTCTGGTGGCAGTGATGGTAGCGACGCTTCCTCTTGATACGGTGGGAGGACGGGCATATTCTGCATCGTCGAGCTTGACATTGAGTGGCTCGAAGCAAAAGACCCTTTCGATTGGTCTCTCTCCAAAGCCATCCTCCGATTTGAGGTAGAGGAGGAAGACGTTCGGGGAGGAACGTTCCCGTCATTCTGGTTCGTGCTCGACCTGTTCTCCGGATTCTCATCATCCCGCTGGAAGCTACTCTGTATCCCCTGGTCCAAAAGTGTGGTGAGGCCTGTGCCAGAACTATTCACACTACTCAAGCTACTGGTCCGAGGCACAGAACCATCCCCATTATGATTTGCGTTCTCTTTTGCTTGTTTTTGCCGTAGTTTCTGCTGCTTCCGCTTTAGACCATGAAGCAGAGTGATTATGATATCACGAATCCGAGGCAGGTACTTTTCCAAGCTCTCAACGCTGGCTTCTTGGCTGAGTGTTGATTCGAGGATGTGACGCAGAAGCTCAGGGACATTTCCCAGGTCGGAAGTATCAACGTTGATCGCCGTGAAGGCTCTGCAGGCTATATTGAACTCGTAACCCAGGCGCACATATACGTCGGACACCTGCGCGTCCGTCGCTTGGTGGCGGGACCATTGTGTGAGGGTCTCGAGGAGCTGCTTTGTAGCTACCAGCAGGTGGGTGACGCTCTTCTCGATTTGGGACAGCGGGGGAGCGTTCTGGCTGGTTTGGATTGATGGAGGACCGACCTGCGAGTAGAGAGTTGTCAGCATCGCTTTGTGTCAGGCCCGAGTTGGAGCCAGATAGAAGCAGCGAGTTTGGGAAAGACGCGCTTTCGATTCAGGCCGAGACTCACATTGTGCCTTCTGCTGCCACTTGCAACTGCCTTGCCAGAGGCCGACGACGTCCGCGACTGTGCGCCTGGCCCAGGAGACATCGGTCGAGCCGCGATATTGGGAGGTCCTAGATCTGCTGCTGGGGAGCGCCGTTGACCGATGGATCTCTGTGAGGTGGGCGGCGCCTGCATCGCTGTGACTGCCGCGGCTGAGAGGGAAGGGGGGTTCTATTGGAACCGGTCTAGCAAATAATCATATCGACATTGAATTGTAGCATATCAGGGCGGGTTGGAAGTGAAGCAGAAGCAGAAGCAGTAGCAGAAGCAAGAGCGGAGTGGAGACGAGTTCCGAGTCAGAGGGTGTTCCTAGCTGCACAACCCTTTGCCGAGAAGCTATAGACAAGGCTACTACAACCCATCCAACATGATAGGGGTCGTGAATAAACGAATTGAGATTCTCTCCGTAGATTAATCACGAACAGATTTAAAAGGAACAAAGATGAGCAGGGTAATTGTGTTTGTTGACCGATAGGTGCATCGCTTGTCTTACTCTGACTTGTGAATATAGATGAAGAGGCTTGCTAAAGAAGTCCTTGGCTTTTAGTGTAGAAAGGAGGAGGTAATAGGTAGAACTACCTCCTTGTCCGCGATAGGTTTTTGTGGATATGCATCCTGATTTATCGGGCTCCTCTGCCTGCTGCTTCTGTGTTCTCTCGAGGCTTCATTTTCCATAACGGTAGAAAGTTTCCCGCATTCGTGGTTCACTGGTTCCCGAGCCTCAGGTTGATTGATTCACATATCAACGACTCGGTAGCATGTCTACGGGGATCGTCGAAATCCGGGGAAGGTCATTCTACGGAGTACGTACTCATCCACAGTGGTTGGGTCGAAAACGCTTGCTTTCCCCTATTGCTATAGATGGTTGTCATTGTTACTTGGGAGAATGGAGTGAGTATTGGGATGGTCAGTATGGTCCTCGTCGATGCGATGATTTTTGATTCTCGGTATCCATAGGTAGGTACGGTATCATGATCATCGGTCTCTTTGGTCAGTGCTGATAGCTCTCTCTACGGCCGATGGTTTCCAATGCCTCGAAGAAAGTGGAAGCGTGTCTCGCATGCCTCAACCACCCAAATTTGCCTGTCGCTCTTTGCAAGGCCCTATCTTCTTAGCTTCGTAGTTGGAGAAAGTGAGGCGATTCCCGTAGCTGGTTTGTGAGCGGAATAGAAATATACGTAGATGTGAGGAATGGTTTGCAGACGAGTTGAGAATAGGCAAAGTCCAATTAATATTATGAAGCTAGCTTTTTCTGAGCAGGATAATTTTGTTCCTTTTGTTAAGTATAACCAACCAGTCTAGCTAGTACGTAGATCGCTGACAAGATTAAGGTATGGAATATCTCACTTTCGAGAGGAAGAAGCTTTTCTTGAGAGCGTAGAGAATGGGATATGATCTACGCTGAAACCGAGATTTCTAAATATATCGTTGGTAGTTGCAAGCTGCGCCTCCAATTGAGCGCTGGTTATAAAAGTCGCGGCGATTTTGCACGTAGTAAGAATAAGTAGCAGCTAAAACAAATCAGTACATCAAAGTCCACCCATTCTCTTGTCCTCAAATGTGTCTCCGTACGCATCAAAGGAGATTTATATATAGATTAAAGCCGCAGTCAAGTCAAGGCGTTGAGTGAGGTACCTACCGGTACCTATGCGGGACAAACAGTTCCACTATGTTCGAGGCATTGGAAACAATATGCCCTCTCTCTACCTCTCTTGGGCCTGCGGACTTTCGCACCTCGAAATCTTGTCGCGCTTCCATCTGCATCTGCACTGGACTAAATTGACCTAAAGCTGATCTAAAATAGCCTGAAAGGATCTTCACTGACCCAAAGCCCAGAGCCCAGAGCCCAGGGTACCCAGACCCCAGGGTAAAATCTAAATCGACCCGACTTGAGCCTCGCGCCTTTGGTTGACCGGGATCTGGACCCGATCTGGCCCCAACCTCCATCCCTCTACCACCTACCTACCTACATCTTCGTCGAGCTGGATGTGTGCTTTTGCATTTGCATCTACGAATCTGTAGCCAGCCCGCCAGCCATTCGGTCTTTCATTCTTCCCCTTCCAAGCGCCTTTTCTGTCGTGTCGTCTCTTGACTTTGGAGCTCAATAATATCCCCCCAATCCCGCTTCTCGTGCATCATCGCTTGTCCGGGCCGCCCTACTGCTTGCTGTTCGATTCCACCTTCTTTCACCCTCCACGCACCACCCGCCCAACACCTCCCGACTCATCACTCCCCCATCATCCGACGGCAGACTCGTCTTGATCTGGAATCATCTTCTCCTCGAACATCTACCGTTCGGTGAAGGAGACACTCGGGGACTTACTTCAACTCCAATTTCCAATCTTCCGAGGTGAGACACTCCCTGACTACCAGCCTCTTTCTGGGCGCTCAGACGCCCTCAACACCCCCCCTCCAGAGCTTCCATCAAAGTCTTCTTGACCAGCGGCCCCTTCGCGGTTCCTCGTGCCTCCGCCCTCACATGCTGACCTTTTCCAACGAGCAGAGACGTTTTCTTTTGCTTTACGCTGCGTGCCCTGCAAGCTAGGGGTTTGTCACCAACCCACAACTACCGACGTCCCATTGGCGACGGTTTATTGCTGGTGAACCTGTTTCTTTGATCTGTCAATCAAGAGGTATGATAGTCCCTCTCTCTCCTTCCATGAAGCTGCCTCCCCCCCCCTTCCCCCCCCAATGTGCCGTGTGACCTTGCGCCCAGGTCCCGCCACAGTTGTGGTCCCATCCAGCCTCACTCCAACAGAACCTCACCTTTGGCTCTCCCACAACAACTTGGCCAAACATGAACTAATTCGTATACCAGACAGATTCTTAATAATACGACGTCGCGACTCTCGTACCCACCCGAAAACACCTCAAATCATACCCAACTCGCTGCGCGGTGAACATGGTACAACCGGGAAAGAAGGCACCTGACACATCCAACGGTACATACAAAAATACACAATCCAACATGTCATTCCAGGCAAAGAACTTCGGGGGCGCGGGCAAGAGTGGACAGAATGGTTTGTAAATTATCCTTGAGCTTTTGTTCACCTTGACTGACCTTGACCAGGTAAGGGCTTCACGGATACGGCCATCTCGAGCGGTAACCGTGTTCAAGGAGAGCGCACACTGCAGAGATGGGTTCCAGATGTTCCGGCGGATACCACTGGATCGCTCGAATCCGCATCGAGAATGAAGCCATCGGGAGGAGCTGGCTGGGATCAATTCGCTGAGAACGAGCGACTATTTGGCATGAAGACTGACTACGATGAGAATATCTATACTACCACCATAGATAAGAGCCATCCTCAGTACAAGCAACGTCTTGCTGATGCCGAGAGAAAGGCAAGAGAGATTGAGCGCAGCGTTCCCAACAACGCTCACGTTGCAGAGGAGCGTATTGTGGACAATCTCGGACCTGAAGAGAATGGTGGACTCGACGAAGAAGACAAGTAAGTGAATTTGAATTCCACTTCAAGCTTTTTGCTCTAACAGTTTTCTAGGTACAGTGGGGTCCGCAGAAAGCAGGATTTCCCTCCTTTGACCTCGTCGAGCAACAAATATACCCCCCCAGCGAGACGCGCACCCACAGGACAATCGACCGTCAAGGGAGCCCCGGTGGATCCTGCCATCATCTCTTCCCAGCTCGTTCGCCCCGACAAGCCTGTTACCGAAAAGGCTAAGGCCGCAGATGTACCCAAGTCATCGAAGCCCGAGATCGCAATCCCTCCCACCACGACCGACTCGAGCCACTCCGCAACACCCGAGCCGAAGGTCCCCGCTACAAACACTCCTTCATCCTCCAGTCGCACCGCCTCACCTCAGGTCAAAGTTGATGGCGTCCCCAATGCTACAGCAACTGTTGAGCGTGACGTCGCAAGTGCTTTCAAAAATTTCGCTGCACACCAGAGAAAGACTGTCGAGTCTGCTCGTACCGCACGAGCTCGGAACGACAAGGAGATCAAGCTGAACGACCTGAAGAAGTTTGCTGACAGCTTCAAGCTCAAGACTCCTGTCCCTTCAGACCTTGTACCTATCATTGCGAAGGATCCTGCGAAGCAGAAGGAGATTCAAGAAAAGGCCAAGCGCAATGCCGAGGAGAACAAGGCAAACCCATCCGAAGGTGTCATGCCCATCCCACCTCCAGTCGAGGTAAGATCCAGCCAACGACCTGGTGCTACCACTCATGGTACATCGCCCGCGAACATACCTTCTCGACAAAATACTACGCGCAATACTGGTTACTCGCATCAAAGTCAGTTCAGAGGAACCTCTCAAGCCCCCCAAGTCTCTCCATCTCAGCAGAGCCGTCCTCCTCCTGGCGGGCTTGGAGGCCGGTTGAGGAGCGCAGAGCAGAATAAGGTCGGCCAGCTGCCCCCCAACCCCACCCCAGCTCATGAGGCAAGACAACCACCGACTGGCCCTGCCAATGGTGATCCAAATCTCTCGCGACGCTCCAGTGGTGTAACAAGCACACAAGGAGCGAGGCTGAACCCCACCATTGGAGAGTTCCGCCCAAGTATCCACGCTCCTAGCTTCAACCCCAACGGCAACCCCAGCAGTGTCTCAAGTCCAAGATCTGTGGTCAATGCAGTACCTCAAGCTCCGATTGCACGCTCCCTTCTCCGTCGCAAACCAATCCCCGAATCAGAGCGCCCGGCTCTCAAGGAAAAGTTCAATTGCCTTGATCATATCATGACGATCAAACCTGGACCGGAGAAGAACTGGAAGCAGACCGGTGGTCTGAAGCCTGCTTATGAGACCCCAGTTCTTTGGAAGACGGTCAACGTTGCAGAAGACAAGCCAGAATCCAATATCCATATGACTTATACCAAGATGTTTGAACTGGCACCTTTCCCAGCACACACCATGTCTCCAGCTGCTCCGCCTCACGCCACTCCCCAGGTTCCCCACCAGCATCAATTGCCGTTTCACCTGCAGCAGAGTGGACATGCCGGAGCTCGTCAATCACCTCGTCAGGCCCCTGTGAGCATGCATGGCAGCCATCACCCTCATGGACCAGCACAGTCTTTCAACGGTCATGAAGATCACAGAATGATGCAGTCTCAGTCTGCCCAATCCTTCGCATCTCCTCGTCTTCAAAATGTACCAATGCAGTACAACTCTCCGATGAACCAACCTGCACAAATGTACGGCAACCCGCAGATGATGGGATTCCCCGGAGGTGGACCGCCAATTCCGTATCAACAACGCTCATTGTCTCAAAGTCAAGGATTCGTCCCACCTGGAGGCCCTATGGGCCCGATCATGATGCAGAACCCTAACGGAGCGTTCATGGCTTCTCAGGGTATGGCACCTGGTCCTCCGATGATCTTTAACCATGGTCAAGGCTTCATGCCACCACCAAACAATGGTATGCCTCCACAGATGCCGGGAGTTAATGGCTACCCGAGCCCTGGCCGAGGTCCCCCCATGATGATGCAGCAGGGGTCGCAACAAGGCCATCAGCAACCACAGGCCTGGGGCATGAACCCTGGCATGAGCCCAAGTCCGCAGTACAACCATGCGGCGCCTATGTATAACAACCAGCAGCCTCCTGGCCAGAGTACGTCCGCTCCATTCCAGTACTTGATCGTATGCTAATACTCTTTTAGTGGGTCAAATGAGAGGGGGCTATGGTGGACCAGGCCAATTTGGAACCAGTCCCAATCAACAGATGCACCAGCTACCACCACAACAACACCGAAACAACGGCCACCCCAATGGCAACTACAATAACCAGAAGAACTTCCAGCAGCAAGGCTCACATCATCAAAATGGCCCTGCCAATAATCAGGTTCCGACCGGGCCTCAGGCACGAGCTTCGGAGGGCAATGATGAGTCGAAATGAGCAGCCGACACGGTTCTCCTAACATCATATAGTGCGGCTCCGATGCTTTGCATCATGCGAACTAACAGCATCAAGAATATTGCCCAACTCTGACGGGAGTGGCTGCTGCATATCTAGGATCTGCTACATTGATAGAGGATCGTCGGTCTTGCTTGGATCAGCTCTGCTGTGGAGCATTGGATTGACATTTTCGCGCACCGACTCCGCGTGTCTGGTGCGTCATAGTTTTTGTTTAGGTGTGGAGGTGGCGGGGACATCAACATTACTCTTTCGTGGAAAGATCTGATACCTTCTCAGCAAACAATTGTCTGACATCGTCTCACGACCTGCTTCACAGGAAGACTGGACACTTTTCGCACTCCAACCGCAGCCAGGGAGGAAGGGAGGGACCATGGCACTCCTCGAGTCTCCCGTGAGAACGAGTCTGTGCAGTGGGAGCTGATCAGGCTGGCACATTGTCGGGAGTATAGCTTATCGAGGACTTTTGTGGTGTGAAGGAAACGGGGTAGGGTTGGTGGATTATGGTGGTATGGAAGACCGTGAATACATACATAAAACTACTTATGATGTTGTATCCTACCTAGCTTTTAGGCCTACAAATCACCCTTCCCACCCATCCGAGTTCACACGATGCGTTTCTAGCGGGGCATAGTAAGTGACATGTGCATGCAGTGACTGACGACTGTTCAAGAGCTTTTCGTTGCGATGCCCCTCTACTAAGTAGGTTCGTCTACGAAGTGGGTAAGTCTTGGCCTCCCTCGTCCTCGTCTTCCTCCGAATCCCCGTGGGGCACCATGCCAGCAGCGGCCTCGCTCGGCAGCTGCCGCGGGAACCATCCGTACACGGCCAGGTCGACACTCAGCTCGCCCATGCTCCCCGCCGTCACTGCCACGCCCTCGCCGCGGAGGACCTGGGCCTGGTTCGCTGCGCCTGAGGGGTGGTGGTGGCCCCTGGTGAGCGGGGTGAGAGATCAGTTGAGTCAATAGGAACTGAGTAGATATTGAGGGAAGGGGTTTTGAAGAAGGAGGAGGAGGAAGAGGAGGAGGAGGAAGAGGAGGAGGTGAGGGAACAGACGTACATACCGTGGTGATATGACGCCTTTGGAGTTGATGACGCGCTGCCAGGGGACATTGGCGCTGTGGAATCGGGGTTGTTGGGGGGTGGTAGTGGCGTCTGGGTCTTGGTCTGGGTTTTGGTCTGAGGAGGTCGAGGAGGGGGCGATAGGCAGGTGTTTGAGGCAGGTGCCTACTTGACGTGGGCGTTGGGCTGTCTGGTCGTCGGTAAGGGGCATGGATTGCGTTGGGAATAGGGAATGAGGAGTAGGGGGTGGGTAGGGTAGTAGCTCACGCGTTCCGATCAGCAGGGCGATGTGCCCGTAGCTTGTTACTCTCCCGTAAGGAATCTCCTGGATGGCGCTGTAGACGGCGTGGAAGAAGGAGCTGGCTTCGTCGGTGCGGGCCATTATGAGTGTTGATGGGTGGCGGTGATAGATGGTGGTGGTGGTAATGGATAGGTTTGTTTACATTGTGTTCGATTGGTGGTTTATAATAATCTTGTCTTCCCTCCTCCGCCTCGTGACCTCGTGAAGTCGCGTGGGTGAGTAGTAAGTGCTATGTGATATTGATGGAGAGTAAATCAGTATAAAAATATGCAAAAAAAAATTGATTTAAATAAAAAACGCCAAAACTCAGCTGGAAGCCCGTAACTCCGTAATGTTACAAGGTTCCAGCTTACAAACCCAACCTAATGGGTTTTTCGTCTTTTGGCGTTAGTTTCCTGGGTCGGAACCCCATAACACCTCATGCTATGGGGTTCCGGCCTCAACCGGTGATTGGGGCGGCGGTTCAACCATGCAAGCCGCTGAACCACCGCCCTGAATCCCGGTTGATGTGAGCGGACGCGGTAGTTGGCCTTATATTGTAAACAATATTTTTCTCACTTCTTCTCAAGTCGCTTAGCAGGGTGGGGCGAGGGGTCACGAAGTCAGCTGACGACGTACTTGTAGTACGTAATGTTTTCTTAAGAGGGGCTTGCTCTTCTCCATCTATTACCAGTACATGTTGTGATTCCCATTTTGATAGCGGAACTTTTTAGGACTGACTGTAAGAATGAATTTACAGGTGAATGTCTTATCCGAGTTTTCGAATTGAGTTTATTTCTCAATCAGCCCAAGTATCTATCTGATTGTGCCTCGCCAGGAATTCGTTCCACCCGTCGTCCAGCCACCGCTCACGCTGCAGAACCTTGCTCCGACGCATCCCAGCCACCCAATCTTTGCGCGATCTTGGACCATTTCCTCGTTTGCTAAAAATCTTCTGTTGAGCTCTCGCCGTACCTATTTCGCACTGATTTACTGCTGCAGTATATCGTGCAGTATATCGTTACATCTCGCCAGTTTTGAGTGCAAATACCTCAGTCATCGATAGCTCACAGTAACACTGATCCTACCTCTGCAGATCTGACATCCAGCCTCGCCATGCGAGTCTCAGCCAGGCTCCTCGCTCTCCCAGCATCCATCCTCCTCCTCCTAGCTTCCCACGCCTCCGCCGACGCCCTAGACCGCGAGCAGACGCCAGCAGCATCATGGCCTTACAACCTCCCCGCCCATGTCGAGTCCAGGTCTGAGGATATAAGAAACAGAAGGCGCGCTGTGGAAGAGAACCTGCGGCTGGGACGGAAGCCTGTGGGGGTCATGAAGATGAGCCAGGATGAGGGCGAAAAGTTCTACATGGAGTACTGGCAATTTGAAGGGAACTTCGGGCAGAAGCAGACGCCGATGGGCGATTCTGAACGAAAGAATCCGGCACTGAGGGGGCGGGCTTTGGACGAAAGAGAGCAAGAGAGATTGGCAGCGAATTCATCTGCGATCTTGGACTTTAGGCCGCCGTTCGTGCTGCACACGGAAGATTCAAGCCCGGCCAGCGCCAAGGAGCTGCGTCTTCGAGACTCGAAGCGGGCACTGACTGCCCTTCAGAAGAGAGGCTTTACGTGTCCAACCGGGACGGCGAGTTGTGGGATCATTGGATTCCCCGGGAGCTGCTGCTCCACGAACGAGGTGTGTTTCCAGATTGAGGATACAGGGTTGGGACAGGTTGGTTGCTGTCCAGCTGGGGCGACATGCGGAGGGACGATCACCCAGTGTGATGTGTCAAATACACCGTGTTCTGCTGCTTTGGGCGGGGGGTGCTGTATACCGAACTATGTATGTGTAGAGGGTGGTTGTAAGTGTCTTTCTGCTTGGATATCTTTCGGGGGGTCCAGGGCTAATAAAGTATAGGTGTTATAGATCCGTCTCTAGTTGTTACGACAGTGATCACGCAAACGTTTACTATCACGGCTTCTTCGTCTACGAGTCTCCTTTCAACCGCCCTCCCCACCATAGCAACAGGGGTCCCTCCGATCCGTCCCACCAGGTTAGCAAAGTTACCTTTACATACTCTCTGTCTTGGGATCGGGATCTGTTCTTGAGATCAAAAACCTCGGTTCCGGAGACTTTGGCAGAGAACAGGGCTAATTTGCTGAACAGTGGCTCATCCTCAGACCCAGCACCCACAACCTGCCCAACAGGCTTCTACGCCTGCGAGGCCTACTACGAAGGCGGCTGCTGCCGCACAGGTCGCAACTGCGAGAAGACGTCCTGTCCGCCCACCCCCTCAACGACTATTATCGACAACGGCGTCACTATTGTCGTCCCCGTCGGCCCCGCGGCGACAGTTGCGATGCCGACGGGGAACTGTGCGGCAGGGTGGGCGACGTGTGCGGCAAGCCTGGGCGGGAATTGCTGTCCGAGTGGATGGGCGTGCGGGACGGCGAGTTGTAGCTCTGTGGGTCCGACGGAGACTCACGTTGCGCAGAAAGCCAGTCCGGGGAGTGCGGGGAGGAAGAAGGGGGCTGTGGGTTTGGTGGTTGGGGTGGGCTGTTTAGCTGCTGGGTTAGTTGGTTGGTGATGGGTTAGGTTAGTATTTCATGATGTAGATATGTTTGATACGAATTAACGGATCTGTTTACGGGGTGTGCTACAGACGCTGACGGAATTTGTATCCTGGCAAGTCTACGAAGAGTTAATTCTTTTTAGTAGCACTGGGAAAGTATGCTCTCAGACTCTAATCTAATCACCAATCAGCCCCAACAAAAGGCCTCCTTCCGGAAAGCACGCGTTACGAAGATTAAACGTGAATGTACATGTAAACAAATAAATTAAACATCTCGCTTAGCGAACTCTTCTCGTCTCCGAGCGCGTGTGATGCCTTCCAAGCTCCTCGGTGCGTGTCTACCTCCCTACCTACCTACATACCTCCCTAGGTACGCCTCCCACTCGGCTTCTGTCGTGCGGTGTAGGGTTATAGTACTGGAAACCTGGAAACTGCCATGTGCATTGCAGGTCTGCGTTTGCACAATAGCTTCCAAATGACGCCCCTAACAAAAAGATGAAAAAGAAAAAAAGAAAAATTGAAAAAGAGGAACCTGGTTCATTCTGCATCCCATCTCACGCTCTGTACTCTATTCAAGGTTTTATTAATCTCTAATCTCTGATCTCTCTCTCTGTGAAAATGTCTCTTTTCCATTTCGATTTCCATCTCCATCTCCGCTTCTCTCAAAGCCACCCCTCCCATGCGATGCGATGCGACGCGATGCGATAACCATGCCACGCAAAGAACATACGCCGTCGCACTTATACAATAGGATAGAAAAAAGGTAAGAGTTTTATCTCATTCGATGCCAGACGAGGCAAGATGATGCAAGACGAGGCAAGAAAAGAAAGAATAGATAGAAAGAAGAGAGAGAAAAAAAAAAATTTCGTGAAACTATAAGACTTTTTTTTATTTTTACCCCAGTCTCCTCGATATGTACGGTATGTATACAAAAGGGGGGAATCTCAAGCAGGTATAGCAGGAAAAGCAAGCAAGAAAAGAAACGCCGACCCGATGCCTATGCATATATGCCCATCCCATGCCGTCTTAGAGACAAACCCCACCCCCCCTTCCCCCATCTCCCCTCAGTACTTGCAATCCCGCTCCCCACTAATATAGCCATAGCTGCTCTTCCTCTCGTACCCAGGCTGTTGTCGTTGTTGCTCTTCCTGGTGGTGGTAGCTAACCTGCCGATCGACCCTCCGAAGACCTCCTCCGCCAGTGGCGCCCATGGCCATCTTCTCATCATCATCACCATCACGCGGCACCGGCACTACCACCACGCCCCCGGCCCCGCCCCACGAGCCATGACCGCCGCTGCTATGCGTCGTCGTCCTCGTCGGATAGATGGAGCTCTCGGGCGCTGCTGCTCCGAAAGTCGGGAAAGGCGGCGGCGGCTGACGGGTATGGCCCCCCGCGGCGGGGGGAAACGACGGGCCGCCTTCGGCGCGGGTCTTGTCGCGGCCGAGGAAGGCGACGATCACGCGGCCGAGGCCGCACAGCACGACGAAGATGTAGACGCCGACCAGCGCCAGGGAGAGGAACATCTCGGCCTGGATGGCCTCCTGCAGCTTTTGCGAGACCTTGAGGACGGCGCCCGTGATGTCGTCGGCCGTCGCGCTGCCGGGCGAGGACAGGAAGGAGTCCGTGTTGTCGGGGGAGTTGGAGGCGAGGCTGGCCGCTGCGCCGAGGGAGAAGACGTCCGGGCTGAAGAGCGGGAAGTTGACGTGCGCGTGGTCCGAGACCCACGTGAGGCCGTTCTCGATGCCGGCGATCTTGAGGCCGATCAGGCAATTGAAGACTTCCTTGATGGGCTCGTAGAGGATGGTGCCGCCGAAGGTGGCGTTCAGGACCCCCATGGTCTGGTCGGTGAAGGCGACGAGGGTGTCGTTGACGGCCGAGGTGGTGATGTTGACCCACCCAAAGACTTCGTCGTTGATCTGCTTGTTGTTATCGGCGATGACTTGGTTGGCGGCTCGAGACCAGGCCGTGGAAGCGTTGTTCAGAGCGAGCACGACGGTTCCGGTGAAGTCACCCACCTCGCTGGCGAGAGCTGGAACCTCTTTTTCAACAACTTTGAGGACGGTGTACTGGCAGAGACAGCTGAACAAGCCAGCCGCGCCAAGAGCTAGGACGAACAGTGCTGGGAGTGTCGTGGCGTATGCGACAAACCAGCGAGCGAGGACCTGACGCTTGGAATATTGGAACTTTGAGGAGAGCTTGACACCGAGAGTCGAGGTATATGGCCGCGAAGCGATGTAGACGACGTCGATTGGATCGAACGCGGCCCCCTGAAGCATGTTTGCTCTTGTCCGCAACGATCGCCATCTCCAGATCTCGCGGTACGCCATCGGAATGCAGGCCAGAACTGCAAGGAGAATGAGAACGACAAGGCCAGTGACCTTGGACTTCGACACTGTCTTGGTGAGGCCATCGAAAAAGTTATCGATAGCGGGACTGTCGCTGCAGAAGGTCAAAGCCTCCTTTTGAGCAACAGGGAAGACGGATTTATCGAACTTGTACGCGACCAAGGACTCGTTGATGAGCTTCTTGACCTCCTCGAATGGGAGTCTGATCACCGAGTCGGTGAAATTCTGGACCTGGGCGAAACTAGGTATCGAAGCGTTCAGCTTGGCGATATCCGCGTCCAAGCCAGCAGTGTCGAGCTGGATGTTATTCAGCTTGCTGATGGCAGAATCTAGATCGATCTTGGGAGGGTCCGTCCTGCTTCCGAAGATACCACCGATGTTGATGTCGCTGAGGAAGTCATTGAATACCTTTTGGAAAGATACTATATCCTTGGTCATGCCGCCTGTGATGCCCTCGATGGTCTTGTTCATGAACTCGCTCGCCTTGTCGAGGATGTCGAGCGCGACGTGCATGCTGCCTGAGACGGCCAAGGTGATCAGGCACAGGTAAGTGGAGGTCATCATATGGATGACGAACAGGATAATTTCCTCGACAGCTGTGACGGACATCAAGATCATGCTCATCATACCGTTCACGGCGCTTGTGATGCCGTCAGCAGCGAGAGCGTTCACTCCGCTCGACAGGTAGTGAGGCATAGATGCCATGGAGCTGCCGACCTTCTCAACACTTGTGCATGCTGATAATGCTTCTTGTTTGGCATTTGCGATGTCGTTGTTGAGGTCCTTCGTGGCGAGCATGAGGCGACAGATGATGAGGACGAGCAGGACTGTCCACTTGTTGATCCATACCTGCGATAGGCGTGCTCGGAGTCCGAGATATGGTGTGAAGTAAGGGTCGGTATTGGGAGGAGGAGTGTAGTTGGGTGGCCAGTCTCGAAGCTCGTTGTCGTTGGGGTGGAGAGACGAGGGTACGGCCGGGAAGCCTTGATTCGGTTGATTCCGCGCGGAAGACATCTCGGTGGTTGATGCGAGGAAGCGTCTAAGTCCAGCCAGAGGCAACATCTTAGTGTGTGTATGATGTCTTTGCAGAGTTTGTCTAGTTGAACTGTAGAAGCCGTCGATATGCGCAAGAAAAGAAAAGCAACGCAAAGGTTGAGTCGATCTTTCGGGTTTTGTGAAACAGAATTAGGTGTATATGACTCTGTTGAGAAGAGGTTGACGTGGAGCAGAAATTAATCACCGGAGAAGAAAATCGTGAGTCGTGAATGTGAGAATGAGCAACAATAGCAGCTCGCTAGTATTGTTGTTGTCTGGTATATTGTAAATAGGCGAGGGCGGGAAAAAAAAAATTATTATGGACAATTTGACAACAATAGGAAAGGGAATAAAATAACAACGATCTGCCCGCGAGTGAATGGAAGGATCTTGAGAACTTAAGAACAATCCGGGAGCAAAACATACACTCAAACCCGCCCGAAGGGCCTGCAAGACTCGACCCAATCACGGCAACTCGAAACAAAGGCTTTCTTTGTTTTCAGATTGGCCTGGATTCGATCGACGGCCTTTGTTGCTGTAGCCGCTGCGGCACCCCAAAATAGGCGCCTTTGGCGACGGACGCCTCACAGCCACTCAATTCTCCGACCGACAATGGGTCTGAGAAAGAATGTTGTTGCTGGCGGCTATTGGAGGGTTCGAGGTTAAAGAAAGGCCGGGTAGAGTAGGTGGCTGGCTAGGAGCAGGTGGCACGGTGGGTAGGTAATTAGGTAGGTAGTGGAGGTATCGTAGAATGTAGTGTAGTGTAGTCTATGGTCGTATGTTAAGACTGGATTGGAATCTTAAGCACGTACGTTGTTGGGATTCCACGAAAAACTCGACTTGCGAAGAAAGGCGATCTGATACTTGCTTTATTCGTGCGGAAAAGAAAGTCAACAAACAGGGGGCCGCCGTGGGCAGGCACGACGACGCACTCTTGAGTCTCTGACGACATGGACATTGACATTGACATCGTTGTGTGACCCCGACAGGACTTGAACAACTCAAGTATATACCGCCGGACCTTAAAACTCAAACCACAACATGACTTATAAAGGGCGGAAATGCCATTCCAACGTTAATAGTCGCTGTGCTGGGTACAGTAATAAACATCTTGGCCGCACGCATTTCAGCGATCACGTACTTGTACAGGACTGCATCAGAAAAAATCACCCGCCTGCAGCTTCATTCAACAGGATTCTATTCAGGCCATCAACTCTCGCTGATGAGATCCTTGACATCGCCTACTGTCGTCCTGGCCATCTTCTTCAAGAATGACCTCTTGTCTGCCTCCCGGTACCTGTCCCAGCTATCCAACCCTTCTTTGGCTTGGATGCTCAAAGTCTCGTATCCTTGCTTAATCACACCCGCGACTTGCGCGCTCGTCAAATGCTTTCCTCTCCTAGACGCTCCGTCCTCCAGCAGTTGGTTGTAGTGCGTGCTAACACTGATCAACGTATCTATCGAGCTTGTCGGCCGCTTCCCCAAATCGTAACTGTCCCGGAACTTCACCAGATTCTCTCCTGTCTCGACTAGCTTGTAGAAGAGGTCGTCATACGCCGCGGGACCCGGTAGGAAGGATTCGCCGGCGGACAGGGAGAGGGCAATTAGGTTTACAAGATCGTCAAGAAGAATCTCAATGTTGATGGCGCCCTTCAAATCTGCCTGGTAGGTGTTGAGGAAGCGGACGAGAGCTAGGAGAGATCTGAATAGCTCCGACCAGTGGTACTGGAGCCTGGTTCGAGATCGAGAGAGGTGAGAGATAAGTCTGAGAATCGTTCCTACGCAGAGGATGTACAGTTCCACATCAAGTCGCCGTCTCAGATTGTGGTTGATACCATCTATCATCGTATCCAGCAAGCCCGCCGCGAAAACTCTGTCTCCACGGACAAGAGGTAGGTATGGTGACCTCTGCCGGCACAACCGCACTGGCATCTTGCTCTCGTCGCTACATATCCGCTTACACAATACTTGATCCTCTATCAAAAGCCGTATTATGAGTAGATTAAGATGAGAGTACTGTGTCGTGCGGAGAGACGAGTAAGCGTGTTGCAGTAGATATGAAGTAAGAGAGAGGAAACTGCTGATTGGTGCTTCAAGACCTTTCTCAGCTGGCAGAGAGACTAAATTGAAGCAAAACAGCTTATTTGCATGTGCAAAATCATACGTCGCAAGTAGAACAGCTGCTTCGCTTCCAGGTCTGCAATTCATCAGCATGGATAGAGCACGAATATTGACAACTTACAGCTTCGCAAACATCTCCTTGGCAACTTCAGGCTCAATCACAGGAGCTTTTGTCTTTGCGCCTCCTGGGGCTAACGAACCCAACCCGATCATAGACAGGGTGCCACTGATGGACCATCCTTCTGGTAAATCCTCTTGAACTGCCACATATTTCCCTCGAGCATCCGCGCATGCCTGCCCCACTGATCTTATGATCTTCTGAATTGCACCTTCGTTTACAAAATCATCGAGTCGCAACCGGTATGGATTTTGAAATTCGAATTTGTTGTAGTTTGCCAACAGGCCGAGAAGAGTGAAAGGCTCGAATGCGCGGGAAGATGTTTCTGAGTCTTGGACGTACTACCATTGTAAGTAGGCTTTTTCCCGGTTGGGCATTGGGACGTCATACTTTCATGAGAGAAGGGAATAAATCGCGATGTGTGAAGTATGAAAGCAGACTTGTCTGGTATGCGCCTGATACAACAGCCAAAGCGACTTCGATGGCCTTTTGTCGGAGTTCCACTAACAGATGTCAGCAGGTCCTTCAGTTGTGCCCGTTGACACGTACAACTCCTGCCTGTTCTGATTGTAACGTCCAGCGCAGCAACAAAGTCTGTAAATACAGCATCAACCTCATCCAATCCTGCCAGAACGTTGATGATATCCGAGCTCGCATTGGTATACTTCTTAGAAAGGACCGGGGTCAGGAAAGCTGTGATGGTCTAAGATATCAGCCTCGTCGCGATTCCGGGGGGATGCGCCCTTCCTTACATCAAGAGCATGTGCATCTGCCGGCGCACTTCCTGCCTTGATGCATACTACAGCCCGGATAAAGAGCTGCCTCGTCTGGACCTGTGTGCGCGTCAGAGATACCTGCGTATTCTCAAGAGCCCGGCGCAGCTTCGTACCTGGAGGTGCGACAAGTCGTCTGGACTCAATTCTCCGATTAAATTCTGCAATGTGGCCTTGTCGGGCTTCAACAGGAAGAATTCCTTCCAGAAGCCTTCGGTCGTCTCGCTGTCTTCCTCATCCTGCCAGAAATCTTAGCGGATGTCTCGGACAGGTTCTGAGACTGGGTTCGCACCTTGAATAGTTCGTGGTACAGAGCGACAACCTTCTGCTGGAACACTTCGGGGCGGGCTTGCTGGGTGAGGGGAGAAGGCTCCATGCTGTACCTCACCTCATGGTAGCAGAGCGACCTGTTCCTTGTGGTTCTGAGGCTATGGGGGTATGGGGGTATGGGGGTATATATGGTCTTTGGGCTGGATGCTGATGGAGACGTGAAGCTGATCCCAAAAGGTTTCGTGTTGTGAAGATTGTGAAAGGTGTAAAGTTTGTGAAGTCGGGATTTTTCCTCGCCGTGTTCCCGTCTTTCAGTGATCTGATACCTGAATACGGGGCGATAACGGTGCCAAGAGCGCAGGGATCGTCGACCGATCAGCGACCAAGGTGGGGCGGTCTTGGCAAAGCTTGGCGGGTTCGAAGGGGGGGATCCGAAGCGAAAGCCGAATTCATTGATGATGGAAGAACCAGACTGACTCTTGCGCTTCTTCCAGTATTTGGGTTGATAGATTTACAGCCTCTTCTTGCTGTCCTTCTGCATCCTTCGGTTTGTCAACTCGCTCCTCTTCCACTTGGTCTAAATTATTTTATAACGCTGGTGATTATAAACTACCAAGCTGTGATTGGTCCCCAGAGTGGAACAGAATCTTCGATTACCAAGCAGAATCAGCCGTCTGCAAGTCGACATACTCCGTACAGTCCTAGAGCCAGGAAGTGAATCTTCCTCTATCCTTTGGGACTCTTCACCACCCGCCATATTTTCAAGACTTCTTCTCTCCTACTGACAATACACACCCACGATGTCTGTCCACCGAGTCTTCACGCCATGGGCATCGCCAGCAAGCTCCGCCTTTCGATTCGCCTCCTCGTCCTCCTCCCTCCGACCATGTCCTCACGCCCTCCGAACCTTCTCCTCCTCACAGTCCCTTCAATCCTCCTCCAGGCGCAAGATGCAGACAAGCACCGCCTACACGCCCTACTCCCTCAGCCCCCTACCCCCGCCACCACGCTATAGCAGCATCCCAGACACCTCGATCGCCGGCGGCATCCCCCAGGTCAACGATACGAGACCGCCGAAGGAGACTACGCAACACGAAGCCTCGTTAGAGCAGCCTTCGGAAGAGAAGACCAGTATCAGCGCCGCAGCGAACGAAGCCCAGATTCCCCGCCCGACTGCAACGCCTTCCGAAAAGCCCCGAGCCAAACCTCGGCCCAAGCTGAGAGCGAGAAAGGCTGCGATGAAGCTCACAGATGGCGCTGTCAGACAGCTGAGGGAATTGCTGAATCAACCAGAGCCGAAACTGATTAAGGTCGGGGTCAAAAACCGTGGGTGTAGTGGGCTGGCGTATCACCTAGAATATGTGGAGAAGCCGGGAATGTTTGACGAGGAGGTAGAGCAGGACGGGGTGAAGGTACTCATCGACAGCAAAGCTCTGTTTAGTATTATCGGGAGTGAGATGGATTGGGTGGAAGATAAGCTCAACCAAAGATTTGTGTTTTCGAATCCCAACATCAGTACGTCGTCTACTTCTCTAGAATATTATTTGAGGCATTGGACTAACAGATCGGTAGAGGAACAATGCGGATGCGGCGAATCCTTCATGGTATAGAGCGCTTACACATCCTTCTCGCGCATACGTATCATACATAGATTGAGTTTACGGCATAGCATTGGCATGGGACGGCGTTGTGGTTTGGGCACCAACAGGATACCAGCATGGGCACTACTAGGAGAAGCGCACATGCATCGATGCAACAGAATGAACAGAAAGGGCTGTACAAATACGAAGCAGATCTCAACTTCTCCCTCCAGCGAGAAATGCAGAAATCCCAGCTCCAGATTGTCCCAAGCCGCATCATGACTGACTAGACTTCTCACCACACCTCTCTGTCTCTTTCTCAAGTCACTACTATTCACATGCACTCCCAACAACTCCAATCCCAAACTCCTCACACGGAAATCGCCTTAAGACCCTTTATTCATCTGCTCTCGTTACTTACCTATGATCCCCTATACGCCCCAACTAATGATTGCGCTTCAACCTCACATCCCCCTCCCTCCCCTTTCTGCCACCCCCGCTTCCTAGCCCTTCCTCTCCTCTTTTCCTCCATCGACATGGCGGCCTTCTTCCCCATGGAAGAATTGTCAAAGATTGCAGAGCGGTCATCTCTTTTTTCTCCACCGGGCGACGGTCTGGAACATCCTGGCCTGGCTGGCGCCCTGCATCTACATCTGTATCTGGTGCGGTGCGGTGCGATGCGGTGCGGTGCGGGTGTCTGACGGTGAGGTTTTGAGCGTTCGCCTCGCCTGCTGCAGGAGAGAGGGGAGAGGGGAGAGAGAGGGGAGAGAGAGGGAGAAAGAAAGAAAGAA